GAAGATGGAGGCAGAGACGTTTACAAGCCAAGGCTTTCAGACGTCTATCTTCCAGAGCGGTGAAAGAATAAATTTCTGTTGTTTTAAGCCAGCTTGTCATAAGTTGTTATGGCAGCCTAGGAAACTAATACAGTCACCAAAAGCAAGGTGAGTCCGAGAAATGCCCACAGCCTGGAGGAGCATAGTGAGATGTAAGGACTAAATATAATAGAGCCTTGTGGACCCTGGAATAGAAAAAGGCATCAGAGTATCAACTGCAGTGAATAATAATAATGGGGGATATAGGACCTCTCTGTGCTAGCATCATAAATTCTGTAAATCTAAAATCATTAAAAAAATTTTAAAGTTTTGAAAATAAAAAAACAATTTAGCTAAACATTTAATTGGATCTCAAATGCATTTGATAGGCTAACAAAAACAGTGGTGTCTTTATTGAAATTGCTTACAAAAGGTATTAAAAAGTACTTAATCTAAAACATTTGTAGGAAGTAGAATGTATAATGATTTTGGAAGTTTAAAGTGGATTTTTTTAATGTATTAGGCAAAATTACTGGGAGATTATTTTACAAAGTTTTCTTAGAAACTAAGTTTCAGTGGTCTTTTAGCCAAAATCTAAATGCTAATAATAACCTTCCTTCTTAATTATAACTTAGATTGAGACATAAACTAAAGTCTAGATATAGATACTTAAAGATACTCTGCCAAACCCAACAAGTCCATCAGTGAACAAAACAAGTCGATGGCATGTTCTGAGAGAACAGGCATTTGAAGGACAGCTTAGTATGCTGAGAGCTGTTAGCTATGTGGTAACAAGACTAGGTATGTAGTATTCTCATTCATCAGTTTAAAAACTAATACCAGATGCATGTAAGAATAAAGAAAAGGGAATCTAAAACTTCATTTATTTATATTTGGTAATCTTAGAACTTTCTGATACAAATTTAACTTGCTATTTAGCTTCATTTATTCTTCCAGTGATCTTTATATATTCTATTTACTTCTTTTTTTATTGCARGGTTTAATATTTTTGGTGTTATTAATTTAGATCTTAAATTTTATCATTTTTTTATTTTGGTAATTGCCAAAGAATGTTATTTTATGTGCAGAATAATAAAAATCATAGTAACTGTGACTTATAAAAAAGTATTTTCATAAGGAAGTTGAGACTCTAAATCAAATAGTTGGAAGCTTTTATGATGGTTTTAATATATCATTTGAGTACAATCAGGTAGTACATTTGGTAAAATTAACTGCATTTGTGTGACTTTAGAGTGATAAAGTTTTTTACAACTAATATCTTAGTAACAGTTTGCTTTTAAAATTGTGTATATGGTCGATCTACCTGTAAGTTGGATGTATATATTAAAAAAAAAACAAGGAGAGAAATGAATTACAGTAGATGGGGTAGAAAGAGAAGATGGGAGGGGAGGGGAGGRGGGATAGTAGRGGATAGGAAAGGTAGCAGAATACAACAGTTACTAATAGGGCATTATGTAAAAATGTGGATGTGTAACTGATGTGATTCTGCAATCTGTATTTGGGGTAAAAATGGGAGTTCATAACCCATTTGAATCTAATGTATGAAATATGATATGTCAAGAGCTTTGTAATGTTTTGAACAACCAATAAAAAAAAAAAAAGAAAAAAAAGCCTACAGGAAAAAAAAGAAACATTTGTAATCATTTCCTTTGCAAGGTGTGCATTGTAACTTCTCTGTTTAAATATTTGCAAGCCACCATATTGCCACATAAGCAGCTGTGCCAAATGAAACTATAATGAATGGCCCAACAAGATGTTTCTATATTTAAAATTCAATTTAGCAAATTGACATTTTCTATTCCCTTTTCCAATGTTCTCTATTCAGACAAATCACTATCTTAAAACAAAACACAAACCAGGCATTTATTTGACTGTCATGAAGAATTAAACACCAAAAAGAAGGGATGCTGTGGCTATCACTTTTCATTAAAACCAGCTGCCATGCTTTTAAAATGCAAACCAGATCAAAATCAGCACAAACCCTGAGGGCTTAATTTGTATACTCAATGAACCAACTTGTTTTGAAAGAACTTTTCTTTTTCTTTTTTTTTTTTTTTTACTTTTGATCTTTTTTTTTTTTTTTTTTACACTGGCCCTGTGAGCTAGGAAGATCAAGAATTATCTCTATTTTTATTATTTTAGTGATAAGAAAGTTGAGGCAGAAGGTTTAGCTGACTTGCAAAGGCCAGTAAGTGCCAAAGGTAGTGTTAGAATTCTAGGCTTCTAACTGAATGCCTGTGTCTTAACATATTAGCTCTAGATCCATAATGTTATTACAGGCCTCTGTCCTGGTACCAATTCCAGAATGTAGTAATGATGTGCTGTAGTTGGATCCTATAGTTTCTAATAGTCCACTATGAAATATGTTGGAATTTTTAAAGATGCTAATAAACCATTGATATCTTAAAATTGGCCATGGTGGGAATATTTATGCCATGGAAATAAGTAAATGTTTCCTCCTTTAAGAATTGGTTTACCACTGATTGTTTCTAAGTATAAATCAAGGAAGGAAACAAACAACAACAAAATAGAAAACAGTATTGTAAGCCACACGTAATTTTATGCATACTGCATATGTAGAGCAGAGGTCACTGTTTCTTTGCTCTGTAGGAAGGACAGATCCCATCTACCCACTTCAGTTCTTATATGGGCTGTGTGACTGTGTCTAGGAACCCAACTAATGTAAGAGTGGATGAATAAGAGAAGAGCACAACAGTTTTATTAATTTAATCTACATAAGGATCTTCACAAGAGTGAATCTGAAGAAATTACAAAAACTATACCTTTTAGACAAGAGGACAATAATCTGTGGAGGAATGACAGGACAAATGAACATCTAATTCTAGGGATGATACTAAGAGATATGGGGGAGTGTGTAGAACTTGGGGGAAGATAAGGGTTACATCAGAATTTCTTCAGATTAACTATAACCCCAGTTACCAGTCTGTCATGATCAAGTCTTATTTTCTAGTCTCGATATATGAAGAGCATCTCTCCCAAAAGACTCTTTGTGGCTTGCTGCATGTAGGAGAGTAAAGGTCAAATGACCCTTGACATATCTTGGAATGCTCAATATTCTAGTCCAGCATATTTTGAGATAGCATAGCTTTTAATATCTTGGGCCAGTTAACCAGAAATTTGCTTTTAAACACTGGATAAATATGGAAACACTTCCAGGAAAGCTTGAATTAAACTTGAGTGTTTTGAGGCTCTTTACAAATCTTAACCGTTCTTTATGAGCTGCTTTAAAAAGTGAGGGCAATCTGCATGGCTTTTTTTCTTCTTTGAACCTCTGGTGGGTTTAATATAGAGGCCTATACATTGGGACTTAATTATTTACTATTTGTTTCTTATGAATTTATTTTGACTCCCTAGACTACAATATCCTCTTTGAAGAGAGGGACATCAACTTCTCTTTCTTCTTACTTTGCATAAATATTTAATGAACACCTATTCTATGTAAACAAAAGTGCCTGCCCTTTCAGAGCTAATGGTCTAGTGAAGTCAGGAACTAATTTAAGCAAATGAAAAATTATACCTGTGGTAAATGCTTTGAAAAATTATTTATAGTGACTGACACTATTAACAATAAAGTGATCGACAGTGAAATTTCATTTATTCAGGAGGGTCAGTAAAAGCTTCTCTGAGGATATTGTGATTGAACTGAGATCTGAAGAATGAGAATTAACTTGGAGTTCCCAGGTCTTGGATATCATTTCTTTAATTCCCTTTCAATCTGGATCAAGCTTTTTATTATATGCCTTCATATCACCCTGAAATTTTCCATCAAATAGTAACTACAATTTATAACTTCCCATTTGTTCCTTAGGTGTCTGTTTTCCCCACTAGCCTGTTGGCAATGTAGCTGGGAGGCACCTATTTTGCTCACCATAGTAGTCCTAGTTATCTGTCTTAGAACTTGCCACATGGCAGTCACTCAGTAATTGTTGTTTCCACCATCTTTGCCCTTGTCTGAAGGCAGGTGTTTTGCCTCTCAGTTATTGAGGACATATAATATATATGAAAAGACAAAAGTCAGAGAAGTAAGACAAGATCCAGATAGTTTAGTGACAGAATTGAGAGACGACCAAATACCTAAGAGTGCATACACATAAGTCAGATATAGCAATGCTGTCTAGATGAAAGCAAGGAAGGCCATTCTATTTGGTGATAAGAAAGTTTTACTTATTCTTACTCATTTGTCTTGTTTGAAGGAAATTTGTTCCATTTGTAAAATAGTTTTTCAAGATAAATATTTAATGTTAATTTTTAAAATATTGTGAAAAGTGACAGGAATGTATAAAGGAAAACTTTCTTGAAAAAAGATGTTTCAGATTATGTATGTATAGGATCCATGTTGTCAGATGTGCTTTGAAGTAAGGAAGAGAGAAAAGAGAAATACAGGGAAAAAAGGAAGGCAATTGACAAGGATGTTAAATGACTATCTTTATTTGTATTTTATTTTTTAGCAGCAGAGATCAAACCCAGGGCCTCACACAGCCTACTGTTTTCATGTTTATCTTTCTGCATGATATTTTTCCATTTGTTTTTTTCTATATTTTGCAAGTTTTTTTAGTTTAATGAGTCTATATCATCGTTACAATGAAGTAATAAAATAACATCTTACAAAGTTGAGAATTTATTGTTTGGGCAGAATATAGCGTTATGCCTATGTACTTAGAAGACTCAGGACTATATTTTAGATTTTTCTTTTCCCTGCTTAAATTTGTTGATAATGTTAGTACATCAGTATTAAATGACAGTTGCATCTTAGTTTATGTCCATCTATTCCTCTGGAACCTGAGTTCCTTAAGGGTGGAGATCTTTATGTCTGCATTTCTAGCATCGTTCCTGGCAGTAACACATATTTGTTGAATGAGTAACTTTTGAAAACTGAAATGTACTGACAACTTTTATTGCTTCTAATTTATGTGTGCTTTTTTTTTTTTTTTTTTTTAAAGCACACGGAAGTGAGAGCCACCATGAATGGTCATATTTCTAATCATCCCAGTGGTTTTGGAATGTACCCATCTCAAATGAAGTAAGTTGAAAAGTCTATTTTTAATTTGTTTTGGGGGGAATTTGATTTTATGGTTTCGATTTTTTTTGTATTTTTAATGAAAGGATTAGTTGCATTTTTAATGCAGCTCATTCCTCATTGACATATGCTATCCTTTTATTATTAACAAATGTTATCATTAAAATTTTATTTTGTCTGTTGTGAATAAAACAGTTAATATCAGCCTCAATGATGGTCGGAAGGTGTTTCAGTCTAGTATTTTATATATTATTGTATTTATAGACTCTAGTTTAGAGCTTCAAAAATCTTTGGAGCATTTTTTTAACATTATTTGTAAAATATTGGCATTTGAGGAGGATTACATCTTGTTTAATCCATGCTGGCAAGATATTTACCATTGTGTAAAACAAAACAAAATAAAACAGAGGAAATAATCCCAGTGGCTCCAGGTATAATTTGAAATCACCACCCTGGCTTGAGTGGCTACATTGTGCATAGTTTTGTTATTTGATACTGGCCATTGTGAGACATATTTCACATGTCATTCTTCAGGATAGATAATATTTACCATATCTAGGGAATAACAATTTAATTCTTTAGCATGATGTAAAAAGCCATCAATCTGGCTCACTTCTCCAACCACTCATCCTTCCAGGCACATCACATTAAATCCCACTCCCCATATATGCCAAGCTGTTTCTCGATTCAGCTCCATGAGCYTCTCTTTGCAATGTTACTCTCTCCCTACCCTTGGAGCTTCTTTTCATTCTTTTAGATTCTGCTTAAATGTCAACTTTTTGGATATCCTGATAAAGTTAATCTTTTCCTTGATCTTACGAGTTATAGTTTCACCCTGATGTATTGTTCTTTTGCAACTATTTTTGCTTGTATTATTGGCAGTACCCTCCCATTCTCCCTACTCTTCTAGATTGTAGAGCTTAATAAATTTTTTACTGAGTAAATGAATAAAATACTAATAAATCAGTATTTACTTCATATAACATATTGGTAATGAGGCCAGATATAGGGTTGAGCAGGTGAAATTTAGTGATAAAGGGTTATTTGTAGGTTAATTATGTTTTGAGTATTTGAGAATAGCATCTATTTCATTATAGTTTAAGTCTCTGGGAACTTGTTATAACTGTACTACCACTCAGAACTTGATTAAATATGGCAAATTTATGCTCTTCCAAGATAGTCCCAACCTTGGAGAATCTCCAGGCTACAGTTTGACTTGACACTTGAGAGGAGGCTGGGACTTGCACCCACTTCAGTCCTCATTGGGGTCATGTGGTTTGTATTGTACTTATTCAACACTTACCAGAGCAGGATCTTGCCTGTGTTGGCAAACAGTATAGGTATAGTATGCCTTTTTTAAACACATGGTGATAATGGCACATTGGAATTTTTATTTTCTATTTCTGTATTTTTATGACCTACTTTGGACTTTAACCCAACACAGTGACCATTTTTTTTATTACAGTGGCTATGGATCATCACCCCCCTTTTCCCAAATGGACAGAGATCACAGTTCAAAAACAAGTGCAAAGGCTCTATATGGTATGTTTGTTTATTCAATGGGGATATAATTTTGCTTCTAACCACTCTTTATAAATTTAAAATATCTAAGTCATAGATTGAATCCATACCCTGTTTGTATTATTTGAAATGAAATATTGATGGCTACATAAGAATTATTTTAAAGAAGAGTTTTTACAAAAGCTGCTAAAGTTATAAACTGTGCTTGCTGTCATAAGATTTAGAACTATAAATTGAATGTATTGCAGCACTTTCAGAGTCTTTCACATGGCATCAGTGCCTGAAGTGGGCATTCCCACTTGTTACTTGTAAAATGTTTGTTGATCTTTGTGATGGAGCCAGTTGTGATTGTGAGCTGACAGGTGACGGCTTTTTCATATAGCTCTTGAACTTTTTGAGGAGTAGGTTAGTATGATTAGCAATCCTTTTATTTCTTTCTGCACTGCAAAATAGTCGAACTTTCTTTCCCAGTCTATAATTTCTGGTGGCCTGCCTCTCTAGTTTGTCTTACATATACATATATTTTCTAAACTTTAAGTATAAAAAAAAGGTGAAAAGAAGAAAGAAGAAAAAAATGCACATCTTGAAGTGCATTTAATTGTGTAGGATCTGTATGACCTTTTATTAATGTATAACAGTAAAGAATCAGGATAGTATTATGGTTAAGAGCAGAGACTCTGGAATCATACTTCCTAGGTTCAAATCCAGTTCTACCATTCACCAGTGACCTTAGGCAAATTACTTTACCTGTCTGTACCTAACTTTATTTGTGTAGTGGTGATATGTGGTAGCATTGATAAGAGGATTAAGCAAGTTAGTAAATGTAAAATGCTTAGAACAGTGCCTGGCAAGCAGAGAATGTGTTATATATTTGCTATTGTCAATACTGTCATTGTTATTATGTATGATGAGAACCAACAGCATTTTCTGTTTTGGAATTCTTTTTATATCATCCAGATTTACAATTTTGTGTCTATGGTTTGAATGAACAATTCTGAAGTCTCATGATTCATTTCTGCCTATATTTTTAGTAAATTGGCTTTACAACTCAAACCATATATTCATGGAATGGATTTAATTCTATATATGTATACTTTAAAAAAAATGACCCTGTCAGTCTGATTGGTATTGATTTCCATTTTCTTAAGTGTCACAYTGACTGTCTTAACATGACATAAATGGTTGTGCTTTGTAGATCTAGAGAATTTATTCAGCAAATTTCATAGTCAATATGTTTTCAGAACTGGATAATAATATCTGATCCTCGGCTTTAAGGGGTGTGAAGTCTAGAGAGGGACTTGAGGAAAACTAAAAATGAAAAAAAAAATTTTGAGAGAATAAAATAATTCCTTTCCTCGTTTCTTTCTAGACATATTTATTAAGTGTTGTCAGTGTGCTAGGCTACCATCGTCATAGTCTATTTTCATTATCTTTATTTCAAAGATGAATAGGATATTGTCATTGCTTATTTGCCATTTTGGTGAGATAGACTGATAAATTCATTTTTATAATAAAGGGTTAAATGTGTTTTCATAGCTGTGTGTCCCGTATTCTTCTAAATGGGGAATGGTGAGCAGGGATCTCTCAGGAGCCTTGAGCTGATCTCTGAGTGGTCAGCATTTAGTGGGCAAGAGGATGCTGTAGACTACTGCATGAAACTTTTCTGCACTATACTCTTAGCTCTATGAAGATGGCCCCTACTTGTCTGCTTCACTTGAGGATACCCCATGCTTGTTAGCACAGAGTCTAATGTATGATTTATGCTCAGGAACTACTTGTAGAGTGAATATCAAGAATTAATGAGCCACAGCAGTTTGGTGCTACTTGGAGAGCATCGGGTAGTGAGTGCATGGGGTAATAATAAAACTGGAAAAATGCAAACAGATCATATTAGGAAGAATTCTACCAAAGAATTTGCACACTATTTGTAAATATTGAGCAGACTTTGATTTGTTTTTATCAGAGGATAATAAGGGAAATTTGTCTTGGGTCATTCTGTTAACAAAATTGAGAATGGATTTGATAAGTATGAATCAGAACAGGTGAATCAGATTTAAGTAATATAGATAAATTAGTCATCTAATAACCACCCTAAGACTTTTTTTTTTTTAAATAGGAAAAGTATTCAATCCTCTCACATGTTACCACAGATCCAAAAGTCTGTTTTTGGAGTACGAAGAAAGGAATAATGATAAAAAGTAGGACTCACCTGTAAATTTTAATGTTTATTTTGTGTTAGGACAGCTTTATAAAATCTTAGATCCAAGAATTGAAAGTCTTTAACTGTTAAACAGTAAATTTTATTTCCCATCCTTTTACATATAAAGCAAATTGAAGATGATTTGTCAGATCACATAACTTTAAAAAACTTCACTATGAGAAAGCATGACAATTCTGTGCAGTGTGATGAAAATGAACAGGATGAAGGTAATTCAGAGAATATGGCCTAGGATAAAAAAGGGCAAATGCAGGAGGCATTATGAGGAAGAATGATGACTTAGCCATGTAGGGGGCCTGGAATAAGACAGGCTTAAATTCCTGAAGTTGCACATATTTTTTTCATTCTTATTTGTGTCTAATAATCACTACTTCCTCTGAACATATAGTGTACACACACACACACACACACACACATACATACACATATGCATACATGCATGCACACAATGCTTTCCCTCTTAGAGATTATAAATTCTCAGTAAATGTCAGTGTAAAGAATAGCTAGAGAATGACATGGAGAAAGATATTCTTGTTTTGAACAAATCTTTGCAATAAACAAATTCTTATTAAAATCTTTTTAGTTATCTTTGGGAGTGTTTAGCCTCCCAATCTACATGCTTTTAACCTTTGTAATTCGAAAATTTGGTGATTTATAATATAGTTTATTTCCTTGAAGTGTATGCATTTAAAAAAATTTCTCCTTATACAATTATAAAAATAATTGAATAATCTTCCCAGGATTAATTACTCTTGTAATTAATACAGTATCCTTACATTGCATGAACTTTTGTGGAGCATGAGAGTACTGTTTAGTGCACTGGAATATGAGTTTTCACAGTGATAGACACTGTTTCTCACACACTGACCACAGGCTAGATACTGTATCAGAGGTTTCTTTTCTTCCTTGCTTTCTTTTTCCATCTTGTCTTTCTCATGAGAGCACATTTCAGAACTGACACACAATGTCACTCAGATGGCTCCTGATAAATGTGCTCAGAAAGGCAGACTGGGTTAGAAAGCCAGGGGATCTCACTTCTACCAGTTGACTACTGTTTTGAGCAAATTATTTAACCTATTACTTCCAGTTTCTTCATCTGTGAAGTAGTAATGATAATAACATTGTAGCAAGTATTTTCAAGCTTGTGTTTCAGACACTACTCTTGATAGCACTCTACAGAAATTTTTACATAAATCCCCTAAAATGTATTGTGTTTTATGTAACTATACGTATCTTTATTGGTATGTGTTGATTGTTCTAGGAAAACAGTTAACATATGCTGCAGTTTTAATATCTCTCTTTGCCATTTCTTCATTATGATACTAGAAAAATTCCAAGCCAACATGTAAAAGGCTGTGCATCATTTACATCCCTGACAAAGTGTAACTCTTGCTTACCAAAAGTAATATCCATGTTTTTCTCCTTCACTGATTTCATGACAGTAACATTTCATTTAGCCACTGGTATTAGGGAATTAGAGATTTCACATATTTTTTTCCAGTTAACCTATTTGTCAGTTTTTTTTTTTCCTTAAGGAAAATGTTTGTAAAGTGTATTAAATACTCCCTTCCCTCCAGATATGTGGCATCTTTGCTCCTTGGTGATTTGGAAGTTCACTTGAATGGCCATTGCTTGTCTCTGTGATGTTACCAGAGTCTCCATTTCTTACCTTTGCTCCAAATCATTCATTTATTTTCTCTTTTTGAATATTTGGGCCTGCTTTTCCCATGTTGCTGAATCCCAAGCCTGTGACTTGTTCCTGTTATCAACATGCCTTCTTATGGCATTGCTTCTGATGTCTGTGGCCTGGGAAACTAGGTAGAAAATATGGTTAGTAAATAGGTTCTGAGTGGGAATTGAGATGCTTTTTCATTATGTTTATATGTTGCAGCATCTCCAGTGGACTTTTTGTGGGGCGGGGGTTTGCTGGGGATTGAATCCAGGGCCTTGTGTAAGTGAGGCAAACACTGTACCAGCTGAGCTATATCCCCAGGCAAAGAGGGCTTATTTAAGTATGGGTTTTCTGCTGTTCTTAAGAGCTAAACTTCTTAGAAAAATAACTTCCCTTTAAATTAGATATTGCAAAATTTGAAATGTAGCCATTTCTTGATTCTTATGCTTTTGTCCTGAGTCCCCTGCAGGCTATGAATTTTGGGTTTCCCTTATGTGAAATATGCTGGCTGAGAAATACAGTGAAAAATCATATGACACAGAAATAATTTTGAAATATGGGGGTGGGATGGCTCTGTAACCTTAGGGGCCCTGCTTCCACACTCAAAGGATAGAGAGCAAGAACCCACATTTTCTTTATTTATACAGGGGGCTTCAAAAGGATTTTGATGGAATGTTCTTTTGCCAAATAAGGTAGGTAGTGGGCTGTCCAAGCCAAATGGGTAATGCCCAAATCCRGAGCTTTGAGAGCTATCTCATTGGTAGAGTGAGTGCAAAGATCTCATGCCTTGGGCAGTCTACACATAGAAATGCCAGGGATCATTCTCAAGGGGAGATCTAAGTCCCCATGGCTCAGTACCAAGTAAAAGACTACTTAAGTAGTATCATGGGTGGCGTACCACAGCTATTTACTATAAATAATCAGCTGTTTAAAGCCATCTAATCTCCAGAACTCAAGTTTCAAGGAATTACCAGTCAGTAATAGTTTATTGTCATTTCATTGCCAACATTTACAGTCACTCTGAGATTCCTGTTTATCAGAAGTCCTAATAATATTGGATAAATATGTCAGACGCACATTCTCTCAAGTCTCATTTTAGCTGTGAGTTAAAAATTTTGTGATATAACAAGTGAAAAAATAAATTTGTGTTTTTCCTGGCTGGTAAGAATTGAGTGCAGGAAACCTCTAACCATGAATCACATAATTTCTGTGTAAATGAATTTATTGTAGACTTTCCTGAATTTCTCCACAGTGCTTGATCACTTTCTCATGGCAGTGTTACTGAATGTGCCACTTTTCTTAGCAAATATCTGTCTCACATATTTTTCTTTTTGTACCTATCTTCTTTTCTTTTTCTGTTCCAGTCTCTCCTGATCTTGTTTTGAAGCTTGTCTCTCTAATTATAATAATGGAAACCAAAACGACCTCTTACATGTTCTAGTGGCCACTTAAAAGTTAAAACCCATTTCTTCTTTCCCCATCGTCTTTAGTGTGTATTTTACTAACAGAAAACATTTAAGACTTTTTCGAAACAGCAAAAGAAGGTTTTTTATTTATTTTTTAATTCTTAAGAAGTAAATGACTCACAATTACACAGCATAATGAAATCGGGCATTATTAGAGTCAAAACACAGCTTAGTAGAGTGTGCCAGAGCAGGTGACTCAAAAAGACAGTTTGGCAATTTTCCCAAACGATCTGAAAAATGTAAAGCTGATTTTTCTCCTCGTGATGCAAGCCATTCTAATGATTTGTTGAACAGGCCAGTAAAGTTAATTCTTAAATAATGTAGGTTTGTGGAAATTAGCTTATTTATTTCCTAAAGTAGTCTCTTGCTTCAGATACTGATTTGTCAAACTGTGATTGTAGTTGCCTGATGGTGAAAGTTCCTAATTATTGCTCATTGCTTCTTACTGTTCCCACCAAGTGCCTCACCTCCATGGAAATTACACACTGTACACTGAACTATTGGGAAAGGAATTATCCTTCACTATGGCTGAAGCTTTTTCTGTGTAAAAAGTGATATGAGCTACAGTCCATTGCTTTTATTTAGAGCAAGAAATACTCAGCAGCTGCTTTCAAGTTACATTTTTCTTTTTAATGGTCAAAACCTTGGTTTCTAAGCAATATCATGGTTTTTAAAAAAATAAATATTTTCTAAATATTAACTGTATCTTTGACTATCCACTGTTTCAAATGTTTCAAATGTTGTTATGCACAATTAATGCAGTAAAACAAAGTTGAGTATAAATATTGAGTTCTGCATACTTGTTAGAGTTGCAGTTGTACTAATTGGAGAGTTAAATGAAGCTAAATATAATAATTCTGATCTGAGTATTGGCCGGCAGCTTGTGTAATAGCATAACAACTCAATAATGCTAAGATGACATGTAAAGAATTGTTATGCTTGGTTACCAAATACATCTTAATTTGTTGAGATGGGTTTGCATATTCTGGCCTGTGATATAAAGTTGATAGAAAAAGCAATGAAATAAAACCAGGGTTACTATAAGCAAATAAAGTTTGTTTCAAGCTCTGTTAAAGAAAGAGAGACATAAGAGGGAAAGGTGGGGAGATACTGACTTGTTACTCTTACATTGAGAGCTGAGAAGCTTTTAATGCAACAAACTCAAAACTCTACTACGAGATTTATTCATTTATTATTTGACATGCCCATTTTATCATAACTTACAGTTTTGATTTGGATAGGAAATTTTTCTGCTTAAAAGAGTTAGCATATAGTACATGAATTGGCATTTATACAAATTGTTGGAGTAGTGGTTTTCAACCATGGATGCACCTTAGATTCACATGGGGGAGCCTCTACAAATGAGTGCCCAGGGTGGGACTCACAAAGTGCTTTTCAAAGTTCATTTTCATGGGTAGCCAAGAATGAGAACCATTGTTAGAGAATGGTGAGCTTCATTAGAGGCTTTATCTTGAGTGTCACTGAAAGACTTCATTTAGGCTTTTTATACTGTTTTAAGGCTTGGGTGAGATTTTTCAGCTTAGGAGCATAATTACTCTCTGCAACTAGTAAGTACATATGATTCTCATAAAAAGGAAATATACTGCAATTGCCTTTTAGGGAACTTTTTTCAAAATGGCCTATTAAAATGTTAACATTAGCCTTTATTTATTCATTGGCTTATCAGAACTACTAGTTTATTTGTAAATTCGTTTTATGGCATTTATACATTTTTAGGATCTTTAAAAGCTAATTTCCTATAACATGCTACTTATTTATTATATAATATGGGAGAGCAAGCAAAGTGGGAAGCCCTAAAATGGGTCTTTGGAATATTAGAAATTACACTTACCCTCTGGGCAATCAGAGTGATCAGTCGATATCATACTATTTACAAATTCTATCAAATCGTCTTTTGGTTTCTGTAAATTATGTTTCTGTGGGGTGAGAAAATGTATTAGGAAATCTGAGGGGATGAATTCTTACTACTTTGTATGAGAAAATCCAAGTGTGAATATTCAGTATTTCGGATATTCAGCTATTTKGGTCTTCAGCTATGTTTGCCATTCACTATCTAAAAGACCCAGTCAACATTCGAACTTCTGGAGCCACCATATCATAACTGGATGCCATGGCAGCCACCGCCATTTTTCTGCTGTCCTCAGTCAAACTGAAGGAAGCAGAACCACACTCATGGTCTGAGTCTGTCATGGAGACTTGAATAAGAATATGATGAACCGGTGCTTTTGAATACTGATTATTCCTAGAAGTGCTTTTGTCAGATGTATCCCTGAATTGTATATTGTCTTTCAGAAATCATGATGGTCTTCCCAAGAATAACTCTCCATGTGTTAAAATCTTATGTTTACTAATCCTCCACTAATAATCAGAAAAGTTGTGGCTGTTTACTTTTTTTCTTTCTTTTTTTATTAATTTTTCTTTATGTATGACAGCATTACAATTCATATTACACATATAGAGCACAAATTTTTTATATTTCTGGTTGTAAAGACAGTAATGTAAGTGAATGTTTATGTTTTGTTATATTAGAATAGCAAATTCAAGGTGAAACCAGGTCTTTCTTTTTGACCACATTGTTTTGGTAGGACCAGATGGATCATACTTCTTCAGGTCGTCATCCAAACAGAAAAAGAAAGGTAGCAGAGGCTGAATTTTTAAGTGTGTCTGTTTTTATTAAGCAATTTTTATGCTGCAAAATCAAAAATGAAGTATATTGAAATAATATCAGAGTAAAATCAATATAAGGAATATGGAGATTTTTGCTTACATTTAAAAACTAAAAATAAAGTAATATGATTACTTTCATGTGTTAAGAAACAAATATTGATCAAGTTTTTGAAAGAATTCTGTGTTAACATTTTGAATCTGCATTCATTATATTTTTGTACTTTCTTTTCCTTTAATGTTGAGCAGAAATTTTCAACTTCTCCATAGACATATCTGCATGTTTCTATATTAACTGAAAGACACATATTTGTATTTAGAAGATATTGGTTGCTAGGAAAGGTGAGTTACACATACACACACAGTATATGTATGTTGGAATTTGAAGGCTTTAAGGGTCTTTTTTATCTTGCTTAATCTTTTTATTTTCCACTAAGGCTGCTGAGGCCCAGACCATTAAGTATTTTGCCCAAATTTAATTTCCTACTTAGTGAAAGAGCCAAAACTAGAATTAGAATTTAAAAATCTTCTGATTTTCTTTTACAGTTCCTTTTCATCTTAGCATTCCTCTTTACAAGGCATAGTACAGCTTTGAACTTGCATGATAAGATAGTGACAAATGACAAACACAGCCAATGAGTACTTTATATTTTAATTTTATTTTTTGGTTTTGCAGCATTTTAGAAAACAAAATTAAAGATTTATTTTGCTTTTTAAGTAGTTTGATGCAGTAACTCTCTACCTAAATCTCCTTTTTCCTAACTGCTGTTTCCACAATCCTGAGTATCACATTTTGTGTTCTATTGATGTGGAAATTATTAATGTTTAATGGCAGTGGGTGTGATTGACTCACGTTTTGAATCTTCTTTAACATTGTCCAGTTTGGATGTTGTAAAAGGAGATGTTCCATGTAGTGCCTATTATCTTAATAATTTAGTCTAACTCATATAATACAGTATCTATGACAAACTTTTGTAATTGTGTTTTGATCTTCCTACATCAACAGATGAAATTTACAAAATAGTTTTTATCTTTTTTTTTGCCAAACGGTAGGTCCCTCATTAATAAAACCTTTGGATGGAATAACATTTTTTTCCTTAGAAAATTATAATATTGTTAATGTTTGGAATTATGAAAATTTTTATTGGGTTAAAGAATTCTTGCTATCATTTATGCTTTTTTGTGGCTTTTGGATTTACTCTGAACAGTGAGTGTTTTCATATTACCACACAATGGTGACTTGTCAACTACTGTATTTATATGAGAGATAGACTAATTTTAGAGATGTCATATGATACCAATACATGAACTTCAGCCTATTAGTGGGTAAATAATGGCTTTTAAAATTTATTTTTCAGAACAAAGGAAGAATTATGCAAGAGACAGTGTCAGCAGTGTGTCAGATATATCCCAGTACCGAGTTGAAGTAAGATGCTTTGGTGTTTGCTAATATTTACAGTGACTCTTGAAGGATACTAGAAGTAAAATTAGAAGTAAAATCAGGATTCTGTTTTATTTCATTCACACAATGTATTTTAAGTCATGTAGATTTTTCCTGTACATTTTCATCAAATACATGTTACATATAAATGTCTTTTTGCTGGTCTGTGTTCCCTTTTCATAACAATAAAATCTTAACAAATAGTTATTGATCAAAACAAATACATTCTTATGGTTTCCAGGCCCTATAATAAGACAAAGGCTTCTTCTATTTTGTACCCTAGAATCTTCTTGAAATTTGATACAGTTAGCATTTTGGTTTTATTTTTAGTTTTAACTAAGATCTTTATTGGTTCTATTTAAACAATGGTTTCTTTTTAGTTTTTTTCCCCCTTGTTATCTTTTAAGATATTTGCTTTTAATTGGAATCCAGGTGACCCCTACTTATCATGGGAAATATTTAAGCAAGGATCGATTTTTATATTGCTCTTATTTTCATTTTCTACTTTTCTGAAGCATACTTAATTAAATTTAAACCATTTTGTTTCAGAAAGTGGTTTCAGTGGAATGAAAAGCTTGACAGTTGTTAGAGTAGAATTGCTTTGCTTCTCTGAGGTATCAGTGTCCAGAGTATTGTACTTGCCAAAATAAATTGTCTGCTATTGTGTGGCATTTAAAGAACTATAATAGAGCAAAACTGGGAACATTTATTTAAGAGAATGCTATTTAAACTTCAAAGTATTTTTTTTTTTGAGTACTAGGAATTGAATTCCAAGGCATTGAACCACTGAGCCACACCCCCAACCCTATTTTGTATTTTATTTAGAGACAGGATCTCACTGAGTTCCTTAGTGCCTTGCCTTTGCTGAGGCTGGCTTTGAACTCTGGATCCTCCTGCCTCAGCCTCCAGAGCCACTGGGGATTACAGGCATGTGCCACTGTACCTGGCAAGAACTGGTTTCTATATCATGTTATTGTAGTTAAGCATTGCTCAGTATCAAACGGTTTTAGCTATCTTATAAATCAAGACATCATTTTCTATATTCAATGAAAACCCACTTGACTTCATTCTCTGAGATAACCTTGAAGTTATCAAGTGCTTTGTGTTTATCCTTCTCTGCTACCTGACCTCAATTACCTTAAATCGACTTTTCTTTAAAAATATAACATTAAGAGTTTGTGTGTATGTATTATAAATATTTAACCTTTTTTTTTTCAATCATAAGCACCTGACTACCTTTATTCTGGATCGGAAAGATGCTATGATAACCGTAGATGATGGAATAAGGAAGCTGAAATTGCTTGACGCTAAGGGCAAAGTATGGACTCAAGATATGATCCTTCAGGTGGATGACCGAGCTGTGAGCCTGATTGATTTAGAATCAAAGGCAAGTTTGTGAAATTTATATAATTTTGTTTTCAAGAAAGTGCCACAAATATTAATGTATGCTGTCACATCAGATTATTTGAAAATGGGTGGAAGTTTGAAAAACTAAAATGTTTACTGTATTTTAGAATGAATTGGAGAATTTTCCTTTGAACACCATCCAACACTGCCAAGCTGTCATGCATTCATGCAACTATGATTCGATTCTTGCCCTTGTATGCAAGGAACCAACCCAGAACAAGCCAGATCTTCATCTTTTTCAGTGTGATGAGATTAAGGTAAAAGAATGATGAATTTTTTTTCCCTTTCAAGTAGTGGGTTCTGGCAGCTTTTGAACTACCTGTTTCAATCATACAGATTGTAGGTACTAGAATTTTAGTGTCTGAGAATTTTGTAAGGAAAACAAATACATTAGTAGCTTTCTTAAAGTTTCCATGCCAAGTAAATGAAGAAGTTAATGTCAAAAATCAGATGATTCTTTTTATTTTGATTAAAAAGCATAGATATTATATTAAATTCTCATCAAAAACCTTGCATTTAAAATTAAAAATTAGATCTGCAAGAACCATGCTTCATAGACAATAAATAATCATGTGTCTCTCCCATTTTATTCTGCACTAATCACATAGCCTGGATTATTATAGGGAAGCACTGAGACATTTTTCATGATATTGATTTAAAGTTCACCATTTAATTATGTGACTTGAATAATTGCTCAGATCGGTAATCCCTAAGTGACTTGTTAGCATAGTTGCCAGTAATAATAGGCTATCTCCTGAAATTTTATGCTGTAATTGTTTTTATACTGTAATTTTTGAATGAATATAATTTGTGATTCTTTATTAGACCTTAGAAGTTATCTTCAACCTTGACTGTCTTTATTTAGTTGATTTCTCTAAAAGGGAAATAAGTTTGTGTTGATTGGTACTTTGTTAAGGCAGGGATTTATTTTGATTATAAAATATACTTGTAACTTTTATAAAAAGATCTGGAAGACTAGCATAAACACTTGATATTTTCTGTGTTTCTTTGACATTAAAATGCTATTGCTAAATTAAGACTAAGTACAAACAGTATACTTTACAATTTTTTCTAATTTCAGTTTATGTCACAGATGATTGACTGAAAATCTTATTTGAAAGGAACTGTGTCATTTAGTTAATTTGAATATTTTATGTTCATTAGATTTGTATATACTGTGGTGCATTTCAAAATTCACAAATTATATTAAGAATATATTTATTTTAAGAATATATTTTGTAAGGTTATAGTCTTTTAATGTTACCTTCCTGTGGACCATTTGGGTCCCTAGCTCTCAAGCAGCCTGCTCTTCTGACCTCTGTATCTCCCGCCAGTCTTGCTAGGTTTGACCACACACTGACCCGTCTCAGGGGCCTTTCTCTTGATTCTTCTTCCAGGAATGTTGACTGCTCTGTGCAGCAGGAGAATCATGCCATTCTCTGTCCCCTACCTTGCTTTATTTTACTCCACAGCATTATTATCATCTGCTTTTTATATTCTACATTTACTTTTTAGTTATTCATTTATTTTGTGTAAGAGCCCAATGTAGACAGGACATTTGTCTGTTTTGTTCATATCCTGGGATATAGAAATGTGATTTTATTTATTATTTTTATTTGACAAACACATATATAATAGCAGGTGCTAAATAAATACTTGTTGAATAAACATCAAAAAAAGAACTTTGTAAGGTTAGATGTTTTTAAATCAATACATGTTAGAATGAATATTTTGCTCTGAAAATGTAGTGAACTTTTTTTATTAGTTGTACATAACAATACAATGATCTTGACATATCATACATTTGAATCAAGTGGGGTACAATTTCTCATTTCTCTGAGTGTACAGGTTGCAGAATCACATTGGTTATACAGACACATATATACATACAGCAATACTAGTGTCTGTTTTATTAATTCAATGGTTTTAAGTGAAAAAGCACTTCAGATTTATTGTTTGCATCTGTGCTCTCCTTGGGGGCTGAGATATACTCTACTGAGGAAATTTCTGGATTTCAGTTTGAGAATAAAGGGCTTTCCTTCTTTGATATGGGATGGGTTCAAACAGGATATACCAAATACTATTTTATCATATATATGATATACAATGGGTTCAAACAGGATTTACCAAATACTGTTTTATCCTAAATAAAGTTCACATACCACTAAGTGACTAAACATTCATTGGTGCTATTCTTCCTGTGTGAGACATGTTTTTCTTTTGACTAATTTCAAAATAAATAAATAATAAATATATGTGTGTATACACCCACACCCACAATATTTATAAATGGAAATAAGATGCAGTTTATTTTATGTGGATCATATTGCAGTATGATTTTTGCCTTGAATTTTAATGTTTATTATGGGACTTCATATAGTGGTCCTGTCCATCATAGTGGTAAATTTTTTCTTAGCAATATAATAGTCTTCCTGTAGAAGGTCAGCATTTCTGGGCATTATCAGTTTTTCTGTCCTGCACAGTAGCCACCTTTGACATGTTTATAATAATTTATTGGAATTGGACGTTGTTGCAGATGTGACACTACCCTGGGAAGCACTGTATTTTCATTCCACTAATGGTATGACCTTGGACAGGCATACCATGTAAGTGTTCCTATATCATTAACTAGAAAAGAAGTAGAACAGATTAGATGATCTTAAGTGTCTGTTTAGTGCTAAAATTTTATGATTATCAGTGCTTACTCTAAAATAATATGCAATATACATATTTAAGAAAAACATACATAATTATGAAGAACAAGCAGGCATTAAAATAGGAGATGAATACATTAGCAGTAATCTTTTATACAGTAATAATCACTGGCTATAAATAAACTTCAAAACCAGATTAAATAAATTTTTTAGCTGCTTATCTCACATTGGTTTCTAAGAAAATGTACTTACTGATTAATCTTTCTGGAAAGATATTAGAAAGATTGCAGAAAGTTAACTTTTACCTGAAATGACAAAATAAGACTGGTTGTCAGAAAAGGTACAACCTAGTGTGGAGTTTCATTCCATGAGCACAGTGATATGTGAATCAGCTAGCCACTATGACAAAATACCTGAGATAATCAACTTATAAAGAGGAAAGGTTTATTGTAGGTCACAGTTTTAGAGGTTTCAGTCTATAGTTGCCTAACCACTTGCTTTTCGGTCTATGGTAGCACAGTATCTCATGGCAGGGTGTTTGTGGTAGAGGAGCTGCTCTTCTTATGGCAGCCAGGAAGCAAAAACAGTGAGAAAGAAAAGGCTTGTGGTTCCAGTATCTCCAGAGACCTGCTGTTTTTCCAGTAGGCCCCACCTCCTCAAGGACCCATCACCTCCTGCAGCTCCACTGTCAGGGACCAAGCGTGTAATTCCGGGTTTTTGGGGGACAGTCAAGATCCAAACTGTAGCATCAAGACACATACCGATTCAGACAATGGATGTGATCGTGTATTCTGTTTTAATCTACATATGAAATCTAAGAAAAATCTACAGCCTTCCAGATGACTGGTCTCTCTTTGCAGGCGAATCTGATAAGTGAAGATATTGAAAGTGCAATCAGTGACAGCAAAGGGGGAAAACAGAAGAGACGCCCCGAGGCCCTGAGGTAAAAGCATTAAAATGTATGAAGGAGTAGAATTGGCTTTTTTTTTTCCCCTCTCCTAAAGGTTTCTAGGACTCATTTTCAGTGGAGGTTCCCTGTTCTCCCTTACAGATGACAGCCTGCGGTCCTACTCCTTTGCTCTCTCAGGCTGTCAGCATGTGTCTGCTCCTGCCTTTCTCTCCCTGTGTCTGGCCCTCCTCTGACATGCTTCTCCTACTTGTGTGGGAGTCATGAGAGTCAGGACAGATGAGTGGTGTTTTCAGAAAAGATAGCCTCAGGCCATACAAACTGGACATGTCATTGGTCCTAGCCTTCCAAATCCCATGAGACCCAGGGGAAAAGGAAATTCAGCCTCATTTTCAGCTGAATTTTAATTTTTCTGTATTTTTTCTATCTCATTCATATTGATAAATAGATCCAGTGTGAAGTGGTTAGGAAGTCCTCATTGCCTCTTGGCACAGTTCTATTTGAAGGTAAAAAACTAACACTAATGGAGAGAATTGACCCATTATAGAAATAGGGTGAGAAGGCAATTTTTTCTTTTTTAGGATGATTTCCAAAGCAGATCCTGGCATACCACCTCCACCTAGAGCTCCTGCACCTGTGCCGCCAGGGACTGTCACCCAGGTGGATGTTAGAAGTCGAGTCGCAGCCTGGTCGGCATGGGCAGCTGACCAAGGGGACTGTGAGTAACTCTAGAATTAAGTCTCATTGAGCACTTATTTTGGATTTCAGTGTAGTACTTGCTTTCAAATTTTGATTTTTGAACTGAAGTTCAAGTTAGTATTTTAAACAAGTTAAGTCTTAGAAAAGGAAAATCATTGACTATTGTTAAAATTATTATCTATGAGCATTCACATCAATCATTTAATAAATATGATGTTAGGATCAAGTCTTTTTTTTCATACAAAGAGAGAAAGTTTTACTTGATTAACCATTAAAATAATGGAAATAAAATATATGTCAAACAAAAGACCATCCAATTTCTTCTTCTTATGACTATTGTACAGATTCTTTGTGTTTGTTATGATCTTAGCTCTGTCCCTCTCTGGACAGATTTGGTGTGACTGTTGGGAGGAACATGGAGAAGGGGCAAAGGCTTCATCCTTGGGCCTATCTTGTCAGATGGAGGTCTATGTATATATCCATTTGGCATTGTTTGTAAAAAACAAAAACAACTAGAGCATAGAACTTAGTGATACTTTTTATGTCACAATATTTTATAAGAATCTGAATTTTATGATTGCAAAACACCTTATTAAAGAGGAATAAATTGTAATGTAGCAATTTTGAATTTGATGCAAAGGACCATACTCTTTTGCCTCCTATCAGTGGGTCTCCTTCAATCACTCATCCTTTTTTTTTTTTTTTTTTTTTTTTTACCTCTTTTTTTTTATTGTTGGTCATTCAAAACATTACATAGTTCCTCATACATCATATTTCACAGTTTGATTCAAATGAGTTATGAACTCCCAATTTTACGGGATAAAATCACTCATCCTTTATTGGGTAAATTCTTATTCAGACAGGATAACTAGTAGTGTAGTTAAATAATGTAACTCTGTTGCCAACATGACATTGAATTCTACTTGGAATCTGCTGGGTCAGAAGTTGGGTTCTGAAGTGAGACCCGGATCTGCCTGCCTGCGACTGTGGAATGTTTTTTTTCTCTGTGCTGTAGCCTTATTCTTAAAATGGGGATGATAATTCATGGGTTGCTGTGAGTAGGAAAGAAAATAATACCTAACCATTACGTAACAGAATTGTAAATGTAATTTTCTCTTCTCATTTTGCCAAATTGTATAGATTATTTTTTCTGAATTATTTGCTATTTTATTAAGCTTCTTGTATTCTCCAAAGTATTTTTAGAAGTTTACATGTAAACCTAAGTTTACAGACATTCTGAGCAAACTTGTAAGAACATATGTCCAATCTAAATGTAATTTAGGTGTTTCTAAGCTCTTATTACATTTATTTTTAATTATTTATTGGCTCTTTTTAGTTATACGTGACAGTAAAATGTATTTTGACATATAATACATACATGGAGTATAACTTCTCCTTTTTGTGGTCGCACATAATGTGGAGTTACACTAGTTGTATATTCATTATCCACATAGGAAAGTTATGTCTGATTCATTCTACAGTCTTTCCTATTTCCACCCCACCCCCAACTTCTCATTATATTTTTTCTGAAGTATTCTCTACAGTGTCATCTGTTAAAATTTCAGAGAGGCAAGGTTTTCAGAACTTCCAGGCCAAGCAGAACATGACTCTTAGTGCACGTGATTCTGTCTGGATCCAGGCCAGTTTTAGTTAGAACCCCCGAACTCCCAGCAGAGGAGAATCTTTCTGGTCTCTCTGAGACTGTGGCCAACACAGTCCATGCAGCTTCTTGGAACCCCTGAGGCAAAACTACCCTGACTTCCCAAAGTGACCTGTAAAGAATAGCAGCAGTGGTGCCTCAGACCTGCCAGAGTCCTAGAGATACCACACCTCCCACTTCTTCTGCCCTCTAGATGATATTTTGGGACCTCCCTGGGGTTCCTGCTTTTTGTAGCAGCTGTAGCCAAGATAGCAGCTGTATGTAAAGCTGCAGCTAACTGGCAGGATTTCATACAGATAAATGCTAATGATCTTAAAGTAGTTACAGCTACTAATTAAGTTTCATAAGGCTCAGCAAGTTTTTCCTTTTTTGGGGGGGCCAGTATTCCACTTATGGGTAATGTTAACATAGAGGAGGCATAGAAATACAGAGTTTTCAATATTTGTTAGCAGCTCTCTGTATTGAACATCAGGAGTCATCATGTTGTATCACGAGTTATATTTCCTTTCATTGTGATTTGCTGCTCTTGTTCTATCCATATATTTTTAAATTCAATCTACAATGAAATATTTGTACCAACGATCTGTGTCTGGTGGGAGTGCTAACTGACTCACACCAGGAAGGAGCTCATGATAGCCACCTCATGACTAACATCATGCTCCCTTCAACTGAGCTGCCTTAGCATTTCAAATGCTCTTGAGACATTTATTCTTGAATTTGCAAATTCCTGAAGGTATTTCTGACTTAGGGAATATGGCTCAAAATTAATGAGCCCAACATTGTAGGTTTTAAGCTTAATTACAACAATAACTCCCAAAGTTTTATTGTAGCTGCAGTGTTGGAATGCATAGAAATTAGTGGCTTTGCTATGTTAGAATTTAGTTGGCTGCTTTTTGAGAAATAGATGCTTAATTGCTAGCTTATATTTCTTCCTCATGTAGGAATTAAAGCATGCCAAGTTAGGATTGATTCCATAGGTTACTGACAGGGAGGAGGGAGAACAGAGTGGCATTACAGGGCAAATAAACATCATCCAGATGGGAAGGCCAGGACTCCACCTCTGCTCAAGTGCTTCTGATAGCTGTGGCAAGGAAGCCTTTTGGATCATGAGCACATTTGATTCGTGCATTCTGTGGATGTGGTCCCTTTGCACCTGGCATTATTTTCTATTCTGTTTTTATCAGCTGTATTGGTATTACCTTAGTAAAAGTTTACAGACTTGTGATTCTCCTTTCTTCAGTTGAGAGACCACGGCAGTATCACGAGCAGGAAGAAACACCAGAGATGACAGCGGCCCGAATTGACAGGGATGTGGTAAGTACACCATTCACCTTAGACCATTACTTTTTTTTTTTTTAAAGAGGAAAAATAATACACTTCGATGAGGTGATTTAAATAAAGGTGTTTTATGGAAATTATGATTTATTTTTCCAGTGGTGGTTATGGTGTTTGAAATACTTTCTTTTTCCCTTTAGCTATTTTACTTTTCTTCTAGTACTTAGTAGTTGTGATAGAACTAGGGTGTTAACTAGTTTACAAAGGAATTGAGACTCAGTTATCAGCTATGAAGGATATTTCAGTTTTTCTTTTCTCATAGTTTATAAAACATACCTGAGATATCTTTTCAATATGTCTTGGGGTTTATTAAGACTTCATTTTAGAATACCACAATAACAGTTTAGTGGCATTTTAAAGGACAAATATGTAAATTTTAATGGGACCTCTATAAATATGTAAATGTTAATACATTGTAAAGGGTAGTGCTTTTTATTTCCCTGTAATAATTTACTTGCAGAGTGACAGTGTCCTGTGATATAGAATATAATATCACCATAATTACTTTTTGTACTATATACATGTTTCTGTTTATTTAGAAATAAATACTTACAGGAATTTGAAGTTTGGAACTTAAGTTTTACATCACACAATTACATGTTAAGCATTTATCCAACCCCAAATTCTAGTCTGTATGAAACATATAAACTGGAGAAAGTCAATGACTACAATATATAAGATATATAGATATACAATATATAAGTAATTAATTATCCAGTGATCCCTGAAAGTACATATATTATTATCTCTATTTTATCATGTAGAAACTTTGGTTAATGATTTTCTTTCTTTTCTTTTCTTTCTTTCTCTTTATTTTTTCTTTGCTGGGCCTCATGTGGTGCATGCTAGGCAAGTTCTCTACCAGTGATCTACACCACCAGCCCACAATGCCTGTTATTTTTCCTATCAGCTATTTGTTAGATTATCACAGTATTCCAAAAGCCTTTAATTCCATGAAATACTATTGTCAGTTCTTTATTAGGACATTTATTAGCAAAACAAAATGCTCAGTGCTGTTCTAAAAAACATTTCTTAGAATTTCCCCCCTCACTTTGTGTGGGAGAACACTATGAGAAAATTAGAGTAATTGAAAATAATTAATAATCTGAGTAGATATTGTGAATGCTTTCCTGATGGTATTGAAAATACAACAAAATTAAATTAAATAAAAATGCAGAGGTCAGACTTTAGCTACAGGTATATTCAATTCTTTTTCTTAGAATTAGTGATTAACTTAAAACCTGCCTTTAGGCATTGTTTATTATTACCTTTCTTTCTTTCTTTCTTTCTTTCTTTCTTTCTTTCTTTCTTTCTTTCTTTTTTAAACTTTCTATTCTTCACTGACTAGCATTGTACAGCTAAAGCAAGAATTGTTTTGCATTGTTTTATATTTTATTTGGCAATTTCTAATTCCAGCAAATCTTAAATCATATTTTGGATGACATTGAATTTTTTATCACAAAACTCCAAAAAGCAGCTGAAGCATACTCTGAACTTTCTAAAAGGAAAAAAACTAAGAAAAGTAAAAAAAAAGGACCAGGAGGTAAGTTGGGTTTTCTTTTTTTTTTTTTTTTTTTTATTGGTTGTTCACAACATTACAAAGAAGTTGGGTTTTCTTAATCTTCCAAAGAGCATTCAAAACTCTAGTTCTAAGTAGAATTTCTGCCCTTGGAACTGCTTAGCAAAACTCATTGACTGTGAACCAAGATGCCTTATCTAGTTTGGGGATAGCACCAGAGATTTAGGCAGTGATGTTGAGCCCAGAAAAGAGCTTATTTTGGTTCAGGCTGGCTATAGTGAAGAAAAATCTTAGGATGCACTGTATGAATCACAGACTCTGTGATTCAGGTAGTGACCATGTATCTATAGTTTTCATTATAGTGATTTTAAAATTGGCGTCTAGTAAGGAAATCTGTAGCTCTGTTCTTTTATGTGGATTAATTTTATTGTAAATATAGAACCTCATTATTTTTAAAATAAAAGTTGACTTCTCATTAAAATGCTTAAAAGTATTAACAGATTTGAATTTATCATCACAAAATTCCAAACGTGCACATTCAAAGTCACATACACATACAATTTTGAAGTATGCTCCATTTCGGCTATTTCAAATGCCTCAAAATATGTAAATTATAAATATGAAAGTATTATTTATACTTCCTTTGGMAAGTGGTATAACTTGAAATGTATAAAAGAATAGTAAATAAATGTCCCTTCCATTATGGATGACTTCCAGATCTTTGTCTACCAATATAATAGGCACTTGGCACTTAGTATTGCCTTTCAGATGTATATATCTGCCATATACCTCACCTCCACATATTTGGAAACTGAGTATTGTTTCATGGTGCTCAACCAACCACTTCCTTCTGTATTCTTTATAAAGGACAAATTATCCTCTTGCTCTACCTGATTCAGAACCACAGATTCTTTCATGACTTTATTCTCTAGCTTGTAGCCAACATTGGTTTATTTTTTCAGTGTCTCTTGTATCCATTTTTCCCCCTTTTCCTTTTCATAAGTAGCATCCAGTTCAAATGATTATAGTTTCTTAACCCAGCTTTCTAAAGCAATCTTTAGCCCTTTTATGCTGTGAGAACACTTTTCCTAAATCTCTGGTCAATCACTTTATCCTTCTGCTATAAAGCATGTTAGTTCCATGTTTTATTGATTTAATCAGATTCCTCACCCTGGCGGTCAAGATCATCCACAGTCTAACCTAATGTATCTGTCTATTCTCATGTTTCTCTGGTTTAATGTTTGTTATTGTGTGTACTTGCAAATTATTTCTCCATAAGCTATTTTCATCCAACCATGATTATTTCTACAAATTGCCCTAAAAAATTAAAAACAAAAAAAAAAATCCTTTCAAATCTCATTTTAAAAGTTGCTATCCTCCAGAAACATTTTTTAGATCTACATTTCCAACTCCCAATCAGGTGTAGTTTCTTCTACAGTGTTTTAACACTGAGTTCAGATTCATGTCTCCCATTATATTTTAAGACCCTTCAGAACAGGGTTTATAACTTACTCATTTTTAATCTTTGCAATGAGCAGCACAGTGACTTGTGCATAGAGGCTTCAATACATCTATGTGGAATCAAATGAGTCCTTGGTAATGTGGAAGTTAGAGGACTCCACTCAAACTTTGGATCATCTTAACTAGTTACAATGATACTATGAGATATGACAGAGTAGAAAGGTAGCATGATTGGTATTATAAAACTATGAAGACATGAATATGTTTTTTTATTATTTAAAACTTTTTCTTGGAACTTTGTTTTCATTTTCCCCTTATGTTTCATAGAGGGTGTTTTAACACTGAGGGCAAAACCTCCACCTCCTGATGAATTTGTGGACTGTTTCCAGAAGTTTAAACATGGATTTAACCTTCTGGTAAGTGCAAATTATTTATATATAATTTGAAGGAATAAATGAAAAAGATCAAATCTAGCCAGGAGGTTCCTAAAAATTAAGAGAGAATATCTAATCTGTTTTTTATATTCGTGTTTTGATTGACTTAAAACAACAAATTATAAAACTTGTATATCTGAGAAACTTAGTAAAAAAAATGACCCCTTATTTTTTAAATCGAATTTATTTTATTCTCATTTTCTCCAGGCTAATAAACATACTAAAAGTAAGACCAATGAATCTACATCAAACCTCCTTAAGTGTCTATTTTTTGCTTGATTACATCTTAATAATATATGTTTATTTTCTTCTGTTGCAGGCCAAACTGAAGTCTCATATCCAGAACCCTAGTGCTGCTGATTTGGTTCATTTTTTGTTTACTCCATTAAATATGGTGAGATTTTATTAATTTAATAAATTAATCATTCTTAGTATGTTTTTCAGCCCCAAGAGTCAACACTATTTATCTAGTCAGTTTTTCTTCATTATCTTGCTGTTTCTCTTCCCATTTCATTAAAAATYGAGAAAGTGAAATTTGAGAGTTTAAAAGAACCTTAGAAATCAGCAATTCATGCACTTTATTTAGAGCTGTGGATGTAGGTCGGTGGTAGAGTGCTTGCCTAGAAGATACAAAGTTCTGGATTCAAATCTCCAGACCTACAAAAACAAAAACAAACAAAAAACCCTCCACCTTATTTTAGAAATTAAGAAACTGGCATTTTTAGGTAAGTGAAAAATAAATAAAAGTTTATTGGATACTATTGTTTCAGAACCCACTGGTATATATCATAGAGCAGCTTAAATGAGATAGACATGTTTTTTTTTTCTTTTTCTTTTGTACCAGGAATTAAACCGAGGGGCATTTAACCACTGAGCCACATCCCCATGCCTTTTTTGTATTTTATTTAGAGACAGGGTCTCACCAAGTTGCATGAATCCTTAATAAGTTGCTGAAGCTGACTTTTAACTCCTGATCTTCCTGCCCCAGTGTCCCAAGCTGCTGGGCTTATAGACCTGTGCCTCTGTTCCCAGTGATAGAGGCATTTTTATCTCTCTCAAACTAGGCTGATCATGGGAAGTCAAGTGTTGGATGGATGGCTTTCCTCTATGAAGTTATAGAGGACCCAAATTCTTCACATTAAAATGTTCATCCAACAAACATCAGTTGAGAGCCTCCTAGGTAATTGACAGGACAGTAGCTCATCAGGAACAGATGTACAAAAATTCTGACTCTCTTGAAACTTGTATTGTTGGAGGGGCAACCAATATAGTAAATAAATGCTCAAATAGTACAGTTTTCTATAAATTAGATGTTTGTGAGAAAATAGGGCCAGAAATATCAGCAGGGAGTGCCATGGGTGGCTACATATGTGTTTGTGAGTGTGTCATGGAATGTCACCCTTTATGAATAGGGTTGGTTAGGGAAACCTCACTAAGAAGATGCCACTGAAGTAAGGGAAGTAAGGAATGAGTCATGTTGATTTCTGAAGGAAGACAATTTCAACCAAAGAAAGGCCTAGTGTGAATGCTCTGAGGTGGTAATATACAAAGCATGTTATTAGAATACATAGGTATTGTAATTTTAACAAAATGAGGGGAAAAAATATTATAAGGAGATAGAATTAGAAGGCAATAAGATAACCTGAGGATATATCTCATTGGTCCATACATGAATGGTGAGACCTTTCATTCATGGGCAGTTTTCAGCAGAATAGGACTGCTCTGGCTGCATTTTTAGAAATTTGAGTGAAGAATGGACCAGGGTGGCTGTTAACATAATCCAGATGGGAGATTAATGGTGCCTGGACCAGGTAGCATTGGAGGTGGCAAGGGGAAAACCAGTTATTAATTTTMTGGTGGATTGCACGTGCTATGCAAGATCTACCAATCCCTCCTTTGGCCTAAGACTGGCAGGATGGAGTGGTTATTGACTCAGAAGGGGAGGCTATGGGCAGAACAGATTTTTGGAAAAAGATTAGGGCTTCAGGTTTACACATGTCAAAATTGAGTTGTATCCAGATGGGGAAATTTGAATCAATAGTTGAATATATGGATTTGAAGTTCAATGGAGAAATAAGGCCTAGAGATGTACAATTGAGGATCATCTGTGTGTCAAGAGCATTGGATGATGTCAATAAGATTGTGTTTGTTAATAAAGATTGTATTTGTTAATAAAGAAAACCAACAAGGACTSTTTGAACCTGATGGTGCTCCATACAGAGTTTCAGATTTCTACTTATCTAGTTATAGTTCAGTAATTCTTGTTGTGTAACAAATACTAGCTTATTAGCAAAATTTCTATTCTTTGGCATACCTTTGATCCTATCTTATTTTGGGTTATTAGGAAGTATTATTTATAATGCAGTTTCTGTTCACCCTGTTTAACTATTCACAACTTGTAAATAGAAATCTAGTCATTGCAGAGTAGAACTATACAACAGTTTAGTAGACTGGTTTTCCTAATCTGCAGCTCATCTTTGTGATCAGGTTTAATTTCTAAGAACATTGGTTCATTTAATCTCTGCCTTTCTCAAAAATGACTCCTTATTAACAGTAGCTACTTCGTAGCTACATTAAATGTTCTTCCTGTGGGACCAGGCTTATTACCTGGACAGTTGGGAAAAGACCAACTGTGGTGGGAAGCTGTGTTGAGGGTTAAGCTGTGGTGTTAAGAAAGTCTTTCTAGGAAAGGCAGTGCCTGGGAGCATCTGAGTGGTGGAGGAAGGGCCTTCTGCGGTACAGAGAATAGCATGTGCAATACAAAGAGGCATAGAACAGCAGAGTACACTCATAACTGGAGGCTGGAAGAGAAATTGATTCTTGGTCTGAAGCCATTTGAAAAACAATCTCCTTTCTTCTTATGCCACATCATTGAGAGGTGAGATTTTTCTTTATAAAAGGGTTCTGATTCTGCTTTAGGAGATAACTGCTCTTTAGCCAGGAAGTCGCTCTTGAGGAGCAAGTGCGGAGCAGTGTTTGGACTTCCACTTCTCTTCGTTCTGCTTATCAGAGCATTGCACCTGTTTGTTTCTGCTGGTCATTAAATTATCCATACTAAATCAGGGAAATTTCCTGGAATTAAATTCTGGGGGAAATTCTGTAGATTAGAGTACCTGTTTTCAATTTTCTGTCACCTTTCTCCCAGATCCTTTTATTTTTATACATCTGAATAGGCACAGCCATGGACTAATAATTCAAGATTCATTTCTCTCAACAGTTTTCATTTCTAGAACCGTATTTTTCAAGTTTAGGGTAATAGATTTTCCAGTAGAAATAAATATATTTAAAATAACAAAAAACAAATATAGTGAAATCAAAGGATGAAGAATTTTCTGCATAGCCATTAATATTTACCAGGAAAAATACAGTCATATAGTCAATATGTGGATACTGTTCATGTTTAAACTGTTAACTTTCATTTTAGATTTTAAGGCACCATTGGACTGGACAGGTTGATTATTTACTTATTTACTTTTGGTAACAGGAGTTGAACCCAGGCACTCTCAACCACTGAATCACATCCCAGCCCTGTTTATTTATTAATTTAGAGACAAGGTCTCACTTCATTGCTCAGGGCCTCGCTAAGATACTGAGGCTGGCTTTGAACTTGCGAACCTCCTGTTTCAGACTTCCAAGTCACTGGGATTCTAGCGCCACAATGGCCAGCCACAAGTTGATTTATTAAGCTGTTTTTTTATTCAGTAGTGTGTTGAACAAATTAAAAATTTAATGTGAATACATAAAAACAGTGCTTGTTTTTGACATGGATTTTTGTCTACACAATTGGAAAATACAGAAATAATCATCATTTTGCTAAAATATACTTTATCATTCTAGGTGGTTCAGGCAACAGGGGGTCCTGAACTAGCCAGTTCAGTACTCAGCCCCCTCTTGACTAAGGACACAATTGATTTCTTAAATTATACTGTCAATACTGATGAACGGCAGCTGTGGATGTCACTGGGCGAAACTTGGATGAAAGCCAGGTGAGATATATGAATTTAGCATTAATACCTGTACTGCTGTAAGTATTGTTTTTCATTTATTGCATTCATCTAATGAGACATTTATCTAACTTTCTATGTATAAAGGACTAGATGTTATAGGATGGAAAAGCCTAAAACCTTAAAAAGCTTTAAGTCTAGTGAAGGAGGTTGAAGTATAAGCAGTGTAAGGCTTGGTGAGTGCCAGGAGCAAGGCGGAAGCAGAATGTGGTTGGTTGGCAAGATGGATCAGGACGAGGACTGAGAGAGGATGATAATTAGCTTTTGTGAAAAATCTGCCATTTCAAACAACAGGTAATAATTCTAGTAGGTACAGATATGTACACACAATATATACACACACATATGTGGTGTTCACACCCAGCATGTTTGCTGTGTTCTTCCATACACTTTACATGGAGGCTGTTATTATCTCTATTTTACAGATGAAGAAAGTGAGGACCAAAGATGTTAAGTGATTTGCCCAGAGTCACACTACTTGTGACAGAGCAAGGATGTGAACCTGTAGTCAATGTTTATGTTTCCTTTGCTAAACTGCCTTTCAGTAGGATAAGTAGGATCTTCCTGCCATGTATCAGRGAAGGGCCTTCCCATTAGAAAGAAAGATACAAGGGAACGCAGGAAGCAGGGAAGTCCAGAGCACGGAGTGTGCCCGGTTTATCTGGAGAGCGACGGTAGGTGGTGGATGACTGTGAAGAAGGGATGGAGGAGGAGGGCGTTAAGTTAGGCATTCAGAGGTAAGTGGGGCTAGATTACAAGGTTTCCAAGGTCATGAGGGAACCTAGGTCTGGTTCTGAAGGCTGTGGAGAAACTAGTAACTGAACAGGAGTATGATGTGACTGCATCTCTGTTTCTAAAAGATCAGTGTGGTAGTTGTGTCCAGTGACTGCAGACAGAGTGGCATCCTGGGAAATGCACACTGTAGAAGAGGTTCCTTAGCATCAGCGTCCCTCCAGGGCCAGAATAATTGCAGTGGAACTGTAAGGGAACAGTGGATAATTTTTGAAATTGTGTGTTTTTCAGTAAAGTGATTGAGAAAGACAAATCATTAACAAGTGCAAGACTAATGCTTGCCAAGTAAACCAAGTTATAAAAACATTTCTAATTTCACATGTGAATAGTTTTTGCTTGCTCATTTATCTAAATCTCTTTATTCTGTTAGAGTCAGTCATTCAGTATAGTCACTTGGTTGCTTTGAACTTTGTCTTAATGTTTTTGGGTGGGCTTAAAGGTATGGACCAAGTGCACACCTTATTTTCTTTTTTTTAAAGTTGATTGAATTAATTTAATACATCAGGTACAAGTTACTTTTAAAACATTTTATTTTCATAAACTTGTTTTCGTTTTTCTTCTATTGAAACACATACTAACCTTTCCCACTTATTTTCTGAATTTTGGCTACTGCTTGTATTGGAGTATAACTTATACTTTGAATGATTTACAAAAATTTATTAAAGCACTAAAATTGCTGCTTTTATAGTGAGATTATTATTAGATTTATTTATGTATCTATATATTATGTATTTGCTTATCTATTATTCATGTATCAACATGTCATACTGTATACCATAATACAGTTTTTATGTCATACTATATAAACCTGCTTCAATAGATTTCTTAAATTTGTTAACTATATGCAGGCTATAATTTTATATGAAGCCTTGGTGGGATTTAATTTTTTCCCCATAAAGCTTATTAAATTTATCAGTTCTCATACAATAAAAGTAGCCCAGGCTTTTTAGTTATTTTGTTTTGGGTTCTACCTTAAAATGAGAAAATTAATGAACCTTTAAAAATCTACATCTAAAGGAAATATATTGTTAGTTCTTAACGTGAGAAAAGGGTCATTTCAGATCCTGATTAAGAGTATTACAAAATGAATATGCTGATTTAAAAACTCATAAAAAGAAAAGAATCATGAAGGTACATAGTAATCTGAATAAAATAACTCATTTCATCATAGTAGAAATACAATGTGAAGAATTAAATCATTTATTAAAGATGAAGCAACATATTGTAGCAAAAGTGAAGCCGTAATCCTGTCCTGGTTCTTTTGTGGTTCATGAGTGATCAGGAGCTCGTAGGAATAAGTCTCTCTCATAGTCATTGGACGATGAATGGGTAGTGATTATAATTATAGATAGTGGACTTTGCCGATTAAAACTGAGCTGATACATTTAATTTGTAAAATTGGTCATCTGTTTCATTTTAGTGAACTTTATAATTTAAAAAGTCATGAAACTTAATAACAGGCTTGACTGTTTTTTCTCTTTTGAAAGATCTCTCTTATCATGTGTTTCATGGTGATGTAAGGGGAGCAAAGGGAAAGGTGAGAGTCAGAAACTACTTTAGATTAGGAGAAGTTTATGCTGTAAATACTTATCACACTTCTGGCTTCACACTCCTTCCCACACAGATTTTTTTAAAACCTATATCCATGTTGAAAAGTTGAGTTTAATGAAGACTTTAGGCAAAGTAGTAAAAACACATCATGCCACAGAACTGAATCTTTCTTTCGTTTAATTGGTGTGAATATGAGAAACATATTTACTTTCCTTGTTGGGTGAATGGAGGCCAATGAGGAATGTGTTGTTTTTTTGAGTGTGCATTATTTGTTTTGTTTTGTGGATAACTGTACTGAAGATCATTATCAACATGGATACATTTCTTAATTTTGTTGTTTATATGACTTAATGCCCTCCTGCAGAGCAGAGTGGCCGAAAGAACAATTTATTCCACCATATGTTCCACGGTTCCGCAATGGCTGGGAGCCCCCCATGTTGAACTTCATGGGGGCACCAATGGAACAAGATATGTACCACTTGGCTGAATCTGTGGCAAATGTAGCAGAACATCAGCGCAAGCAAGACATGAAAAGATTGTCCAATGAGGTAAACATTTTTAACCATGTTCTTTTTGTAGATGGAGTACCAATGATCTATGCATTGTGATCATAAGTTCTCATTCATCTGAAGATTGTTCTAGAATCAGTTACTGTTAGTTTCTCTGCCCCAGTCTGTCTGTTATTTGTACATAAAGTGCAATATTCTGTCCCTGCTGCCACTGCTTCCCCAGCCCTGGTAACCCTGAGTCTTTCTTATCCCTCCCCTCCTGTTCTTCCTTCCTTCCTTCCTTCCTTCCTTCCTTCCTTCCTTCCTTCCTTCCTTCCTTGTGCTATGAAGGAACGCAGGGCCTTGAACATATTAAGCAAGCACTGTACCACTGAGTCACATCCCCAGCCCTTTCTTTTTGTCTAGTTCAAAACTTCTGGAGTCCTGTGGGCATGGCTGGAGGACCAAATCCTTTTCTGGACTTCAGTTTTCAGGTTCATATGATCACTTAAAACACAGTCATATCCTCAGGATATCATAAAATGTATGTGTCTTTAATGTGTTTATTAAGCTTTATATTATAACCTATTTTGGGAGCAAATTAAGGGAATGAAATAGCAAATGATAACTAGATGCTCCTGAAGTCCTATTTTCCTCCTTTATTTAATTCCTTAGGTTAATTTTCTCATACTACACAGGTATTTATAATATGGAAAACCTGATATGGGGAAATGAATTAGCAAATCATAGTAAATTAAAGCCTGTGGCCACTTAAGGAGAAACATGTATAAATTAGATTTCTTAAAATCATTCCCCCAGGGGACTATTCTTAGACAATAATAATATTATAGAAAGTTGGTTAAACTCTTGCATTTTTTAAAATAAAGCAAACACAATACTCAATATATTTTTTTTCCCAATTGTTTTTTTCCTCCAGCTGCATATGAGGAGAGTGCAGGCTCCATGCTTGCTCTTCCCTCTAAATGTGTAATTGAGGAGATGACCTTTCACTGAGCATTGGTTGGCAAGCATATGTCCCTGCCTCTACTTTTTAATTCAGAGCTCATCACTGTGAATTTTCTATTTAGAAAGGAGTATTTGTAGAGAAAAATAAATAACCCAACATGAAAGTATGATACACTTGCTGTTGCTATAGTTATAGTTGTTTTCAAATAAAAAATTTCTAGTTTATAGTATTCATATCTTAAATAAGAATATGCTCACTGTAAATGTATGCCTCAGAAATTCACTTTGGGGAATTCTTTTCAATTTGTGTATTTAAAGAGAGAGTACTGTGTTCTGGGATTCCAGGATGTAAGTTTCTCTACTCTCTGTGAGTAATTTTAAAAGAGAAATTATTGAGAATCCTTCCTTKTATGAGTTATTTTCCTGTTGTAAACTTTTTCCCATTTTATCACTTAAGTGGACATCCAGAGGTTTGAAAAAATGAAATGAAAAGTGCCTGCTGGCCATTCCAGGGGATTTTTTTTCTTGAGATTTTGTTGAAAAAGAGGCCAAGTAATGGTGATTTAAAATGCATGAAAAATGTAATCATACATACAAGGGAGACTTTATTATATTTTATTGCTACTATAATAAATACATTTACAACAAGTCTTGGGTAATACAGGATCTGGAGATGTTGTCTGGAATTGAAAGGCATAGGTGATGTGGAGGGACAGATGTGCAGTTCTCGCTTCCTGACTTCCACTGACCCAGCTGCAGCCCTCAACCACACTGAGTAGCCATCATAGTTCGTCATTTACTGTCATTTCTCACCTCCTTTCCAGCACTCCCAAGCTCTCTCAGGACCCAGTGATTTCACACTAGCCAATTCCATACTCTCTAGGTCAGAACTAGGCAAAAGGTGGGGATGACTCTGTTTCTTGCCTCTCTGTAGCACAGTCTTAATAAAAACAAATTACTAATCAAATTTAGAGTCTCTGCCTTTCCTAGGGAAATGATAAACTGAATTGATTGAGCTTATGTGTTTAAATGGCTGAAAATCGTCTGCTGTTTGTACACAAAGTGCAATATATTACCTGATATAATATAACATGGGTATTTTGACATCAACACACCATGGATTAACTCAGCCCCATTTCTGCCAGCCTTTTCTTTAGGATTAGCTATAGTAACCATCTATTGAAGACTTTCCTGAAACATCCCCAGTTTTAAATATCTCAAAACAATTAAATACTGAGGAATTAAAATGCTTCAGTGTCTGTCATTCTTTCCTCGTACTTCTTTGTACATAAGGAAACCATATGAAATCTTTAGATGGTAATGTTGTTTGTTTTTCTCCCAATCTCAGATGTATCCTCTGCAGCTTTAAAACCATAGTAATCACAGGGACCCATGGGCCTCAGCTTTCCCTCTTTGTAGCACCCAGTAGTTTCATGTCTGAATTATGTTAACTGCAGAAAAGAAATAACTCCAACATTGCCTTTTCCCAGACTCTTGACTCTCAAGATGAATATATTTGTGCCTTTCTGTGCTTCCTTATCAGTACATCTGATAATAGTACTGCCATTTGTAAAAAAAAAAATTAAAAAACAAAAATAAAATAAAATGGTGATCTGTGTACAATTTTAAAAACAAGTTGCTATTAATTTAAGAGTTCAGAGTATTTTAATGCTACAATATTGGCTTTGCTAAAGTGGAGGAGGTTTATTTCTTAAACTCAGAGAGCAAAGGTTGAAGAGATTTTTTTCCCCCAACCAATTTTGTTTTATACAAGAGTTAAAATCTAATGTTATCTATTACTAAAATCTAATATCATCTATTACTAAAATTTAAGCCAACTCCTAATTGCCATGCAGATAGGTAACATTTAATGGGTACCATCTGGGGAGCTTTTATACCTGATTATTTTCAGAAGTAAGATTGAGACTTTGTGGGCTGGGGATATAGCTCAGTTGGTAGAGTGCCTGCCTTGCATGCACCAGGCCCTTAGTTCAATCCCCAGCACCACCAATAAATAAATAAAATAAAGTAAAAATTAGTCTTTGAACTAATAACTTTTCTTATCCTAAGCAGATCTTTGACAAAAATGTATCATCCCAATTTCATAACTTAATAACATAATGGATAATCACTTGAAAATAGAAACTGATTATAATATGGTGGATRTTAGTGGTCATTTGAATGGTATTTGATGATTCTTTAACTTATCCTGCTCTGTCTTTCAGCACTCCACTATCTCTGAGTATCCTCCAGCTGATGGATATGCAATCCACAACAACATGTATACAAGAGGGCCCCATCTGGACCATGGGGAAGCTGCTGGTGCTTTTAAGCCAACTCCTAATCGCCATGCAGATAGGTAACACTTAATGGGCACCATCTGAGGAGCCATGAAATACTGTCTCTGATTTAGTGCTAACCAGTGACAGTATCTCTATTGTCTACTTTTCATCTTCTAATGATTTGAAAAGTTTCAGGTGTTTCTTTATAGGACTGGCTTTGAGGTGCAGAAGATACCTAGACCTCCAGTCTGTAATTCTCACCTACTTCAAATACCTTTGTTTGGTTGATCTTCTCTTTTTGAAAAGATACTTCTGTCAAAAATGCATACATTAAGAAGAAAGAATTATCTTGAAGGTTTTCAATTAGTTTGTACCAGATGTTGTCTAAAAGACTTTCCGGCTCCATAACTTTTAAAGGGAAAAATTTCTACCTTTTCCTTCACGCAACAAATCTTCCTTTAGATGGAAATATTTAAACTAGGATATAACTAAATATTTAAGTCAGTGCCTTGCCATTTTTGCCATTTTGTGTAATCATATTTTATCTTTACTTTCCAGTTTTTTACATTTCACTTATTTTCCTATATTTTTTTACCATTAAAAATATAATTAGAGATGGAGAATTAAGATGAAAAAATAAAGGAATAGGTTTACTTTTTTTTTTCAATCTTGTTTTCTAGCAAGTGAGATTTACATAGAGATCATGCATAAAAGGGAAAGATAGGAGGTAGAACTCTGGTAATAGAGGTATAGGAAGATGGTCATTCAGATGAAGGGGTAGAGAGCTGGTCCCAGTACTGTCCTATGTTGTAGCCTCTCTGGTCATGAGTGTTGCATGCCTTTATTTTTAATATATCCTTTTCTTATAGAAACTGAAGAAGGTAAGAGTCACAATTTTTGTTCTTTGTAAGGGATGGTGACAGAGGTATTAATTAATTGGCATTGAAATTATAGAGATATTGTTCTAAGGGTGCCAGTAACATTAAATTTAAAAAAGCCATTGATGAATAATGTATTTTAAAAATGCCAGCATATGAATCTAAGTTTTAAATATTTAGTTATTTTTTTAGTAGATAGAGGTGAAAATTTTGAAGAATTTCATTGAGATTCTTGACTGAGTCACTATTCAATCCTGTATTCCTTTTTTTCTTTCCTTTTGTCATAGCTATCTAGGAATTATTTCAGATTAGTGATTCTTACCTTTTCTTTTTGTTCTGTCACTCTAATAAATCAGGATAGTTTTCCACAGCCAAGTATCCAGAAAAACACTTAAGTATATYTCTCATGTGAGTTCAGCCTTATGATGAATATAGATAGTAGAAAACTTTTATCATGTTCCATTTTATGACCACCTCTAGCACATTGTGACCACTCAGTAAGTATGTATTTATTTGATTGATTGAATGACTGGATAAGTACATGATATTATATCCAACATTTTAGTCACTACCTCCTTGACCTCCCCCTGCAGATCTACAAGGTTTGGTATCCCTGATAGAATAACCTCTACTATTCATATGGGCAGCTGAATACAATGTCTTTTAAAACTTTATGATCTTTATGATTATTATAGATTATCAGGGAAGTATGATACCTTTGTAKATTGACTTTTAATTTATTGATTTATTAACCTTGGTACATTATCAAATTCTAAAGTAGATTTAGGCAGTTCACATAAATTTAATGCAATTAATGTTTTTAGTAAAACTTAAATAATGATATAAAATATAAAATTAAGAAATTTAGAGAGAATGATTAAAATCTTTGTAGTACTCTGTAATTTTTTCCCTAGGTTATAGATTTTATTTTATTTTTTCCACATTTTTATTGGTGCATTACAGTTGTACATTTTGATGGAATTTATTGGTACATATCCATACATGCATACAATGTAAAATATAATTTGACCAGTATCACTCCCAGCACTTCTCTGCTCCCTCCCAACCCTTAGTCCCTTTCCTCTACTGATTGCTCTTTGAATTTTAGGACATCCATCCATTTGTTTTCTTTTTTCCTCTCTAGCTTCTGCATATGAGAAAAAACATAACCCTTAACCTTCTGAATTTGACTTATTTAGCTTAACAGGATGGTATCTAGTTCCATCCATTTTTCTGCAAATGCCATATCTTCATTTTTCTTTTCTTTTTTTTTAAAGAGAGAGAGAGAAAGAATTTTAATATTTATTTTTTAGTTTTCGGCGGACACAACATCTTTGTTTGTATGTGGTGCTGAGGATCGAACCCGGGCCGCAGGCATGACAGGCGAGCATACCACCGCTTGAGCCACATCCCCAGCCCCAATTTCATTTTTCTTTATGGTTGAATAAAATTCCATTGTGTATATATACAACATTTTATTTATCCCATCTTTTATCTATTGCTGAATACTTAGGCTGGTTTCATAGTATGTAGAATCCTTACCTTTGAGAGATTGCATTTTATTGATATTCAGATGCAATTCGTGTTTGGGAAATGTTCCCAAATTATTGCCTTCTCTACATCTACTCTATACCAAGTGGAATAGCTATTATTCCAAATCAGAAATGGAGGCAAAACATTTTGATACATTCTAAATTTCTTAAGAAACTCTCTAGTACATTTAAAAATCACAAACTGTGATTTTCCAATCAATAACTATAATCACTATCATGTCTAGGTTTACTCTATAGAGGACAAAAAACTGTAAACCATGAAGATCTGTAAATTCTGTAGCAGTTAATAGGTGCATTCTAGGTAAACACTTCTGAGGCATACAAGATAGCAGAGTCTTCAAATACAACTGCCACAGATTTTTCTTTGTAATGTAACAATTCAGATAGCCAGTGGCAGAGTTATTCTACTTTTTGTTATAAAATCAATTCTGTATTGTCTATAGTGATTATTTTCTAGAACATAAGAGAAAGAACACGGGGAGCAGAGAAAGAGAACTGACATTTGTTTGACTGAATTTTGGAATCTCCTTTATTCCTCAGATGAGATCTTAATATAATATAATGTGAATATATAAAGTAGGTGAAAACAGAGCTATTCCTAAAGAGATAGGGATAGGGAATCTATGGAACACAGGTTTTTACTTGTTAACAATATATAATAGTGGCTATAATTTCACTTTTTCCTCAAATCTATATTTTTTAACATACCAAAAATAATAAGTTGTGCAGGTTATAGGTCATCATTTCTTCTTGTCCCAGTTGCCTTTCTCAAATGGAGTTCCCACCAAAGAGGTAGCAAATATATGTGATGACAGGATACCTTATATTATAGCTGTCCTCCTGAGACCTTGGTATTTAGCCTTCCAGAGAACATGGGTAGGTAGTAAGAAGAATGACCAGTTGGCTGGGCAGGAATGACTAAACATCTTATCGCTTTCTGTTTTCTCTCTTGAGGAGATGTGTGAGGAAATGTGGGAATATAAATGGAGGAGATTAGAGAGTAAAATTAGTAAAGAGTTAAATTTTATTGAAATTTATGAAGAAAATATAGATATATCTTAATACATTAGGTTTTTATGTGTAAAATAATTTTACATTATATTTTTAATCTGTTAATGCTAATTAGAAGACATTTAGTTTTTGAAGAAAGTTTTTTTAAAAAAATCTGTTTTCTGTGTTCTTAATGTTTATAAAAGTTTATAATGAATTAAAATATTTATTTCTTTCAAAATGTTAGTGATCCTGTGCCTAATGCATACCTTCCCTTGCAATTTAGATAACCTAACAAAACTTTCCTAAAAATTAACAACCAGTCAAAATTTTTAATATTTTTTTTAGTTGACTAAGAGATCTTGCTTGAATTAGCAAAATCAACATATAACTTATATTACCACTGTTATCTTTGGTCTCTTTTAATTTTATGAAAAATAAGAAATAGCATTTACTCTTATTTAGCTCTTTCATGGTAAAGATAATGACTAATAAAACAATATGCAATATGTGTATTTATTAGACTAAGAATTCATAGGTTTGGATTCTATAATAGGCTCTGTACCAACTAGCCTTATGATTTTACATCACTTATTTTTGCCTTACCCATAGTTTGCTTTTATTCCCTGTATTCTGGAAAATATAATAAAACTAAACTGCCATCTAAATAATTTGTCAGAAAGCTTTCTGGTAAGATTTAGCTTGTCTTAATGTTTTGCTTTTGCTTTTGGCCTTTAAGAAGAACTAGTAGAATGATAGTCTTTTATCTTCCTCTTTCTAGAAATTATGACCCACTCAAAACACAACCGAAGAAATATGCCAAATCCAAGTATGACTTCGTAGCAAGGAACAACAGTGAGCTCTCAGTTCTGAAGGATGATATATTAGAGGTAACAGAATTTTACCTTTTTATGCTCTAAATAAAGTGGATTTATTGCATTCCTCTTTTGATGTGTTTTTAAGCCCTCCTGAAGAAAATGCCAAGGTCAAGAAATTATTCTTCATGTTATATGACTAAGGATACAGCATATGATAGATATTTATATCTATTTAGATGGGGTGGCTACTTTATCTATTATATGACCCCATAATAATGTCATAGGTTCAAGTAGAAGCTATTTGGAATAAGGGTGGGGTGAAAGAGGATGAATGTCTTGACTTACATTATTGTCTTCCTTCTTCTGGACATTATTCATTTTGGAATCAAGGCAAATTAACCTTCATATTTAGATGTGAACATTTTAATAGTGCTGCATTTTAATAAGAGAAAACATTCCCTTCTTTCTCTCCCAGTATCCTTGTGCAAGTGTACTCGGCAGTAGTACTGAGCAGTAGTACTGCCAACACCCAGATTTTTCCTAGATTGTAACAGAGTTCATCTTCTTGAATATGTAAAATGAATGATCACAATAAATTTTGTCAAAAAATGGTTACTTTACCTTTCTATTCTACAAATGAAGACAATAGGACTTTCTAAGATGTTCGTTTTAGTGCTCTGTAAGTACCTCAAATAATGTAGATGCATTCTGGGGTGGTAATATAGATTTTGAATGGATTCACCATAGAAAATCCATACCTATTCTATACTATTACACTGTCTTGGAGTAATCCCTAAGTAAATCAACAATAGATTGATCTGAGTTTGTTTATCAGAAGTGAAAAAAATTTGGTTTAAGTCTAGGAATGAAATTTGAACTTCATTAATTTTTTTAATGGTAATTATGCCTTTCTTTCATGATGACAGATACTTGATGATAGGAAACAATGGTGGAAGGTTCGAAATGCAAGTGGAGATGCTGGGTTTGTGCCAAATAATATTCTGGATATTGTGAGACCTCCAGAGTCTGGATTAGGACGTGCTGATCCACCCTACACACATACCATACAGGTAATTATGATTTTTAAACAAAATTAACAAAATTTCAAATTCATCATTTGGAAAGTATTTAAATACCTTTTGTGTAATACTCATTTTGAGATTTAATTGGCTTCACAGTTTTTTCAACAGCAATTACTGGGCTAATGGTGAGGACATAGTGAAGAGGTATATATTTTTTGATTTTTTTTTCCCTAAGGAAATTGCTTAAAATGTTTAACACTGAATGACTTTCTCTTCAGTATGCTTTCCCCCAGCCAACCTATAGTTTTTCTGATATTGGATCAAAACAGTACTTATCTCTTTACCCCGAATACTCACATCCACCAATGGCTTCCCTTTGATTGAGAGCTGCACAAAGACAGTGGCTAGAGTGTCCAGCAGTTCATTTTTAACAGCCTTTGCCTTTGGAGTCTCTTAAATATTCTGCTCTTGTCCAGCCTTGAATTTGCACTCATCTCACTTTAGACTAATACATGAATATTTTATTCAATTGGATTATAATATTTTTTCCTATTGATTTTAAAGTTAAAACATGTTTATGATATATAGGTTAGATAGGTTAGAATTTCTCATCTCAATCATTGAATTCTTCTTGAGGCCCATGGTAGGTTTTCAAGGTTTCAATAACCTTGATCATTTCATTCATCGTAACAGCTGAATTCACACCCTGTTAAACTCCTGAGATTTTAGTCCTCAGATGGACTTTCTAGAGTGAAGTCTGCTAACAGAGCCAGAGTAGATGAACTCTCACATGCACATAATCTCTGAACCTAGGGTAGCTTCTCACCCCTTCCCTCCAGGAATAATTACTTTTAACATTCAGAGTCTTGAGAAAAGGATCATGTCTAACCCCATAATCATATCATGGATTCATGTTGAAGCTTCATAGATATTTTATAGGTTTATTTTTATCCCAGGAGCAGGCTTGATAAACTACGGATTATCCAGCCTAGAATTGTGGTCATTGTCCTGCTGCCATGATGAGTTACTTGCACATGTGGCTCCTCATGATGCTCAGGCCTAGTGCAGATCCTGAACTTGTCCAGAGGGAATGACTTTATTAGAATCTCTGCATCAAGAAAAATTTAAAATAAAGAATTATTGCATTGTTTTTATAGCTCTGTAACCTAAAGTGATGGCAGTTGGAAATTCTATTTCCTGTACTTAAGTTTTGCCTGGCCTAACATGCATATATATTATGTACTTAATTTATGTTCATCATTTGTCATTAGCTGTTGATGCCAAAGAAGGAGTTTGAGTTATTCAAGGTATGATCTGCTCCATTCCTGTGGATTTTTGAAGTGACTTTTCTACTTAGTTTTTATGTGTTTCTTTTCTAAGTTTGTACTTTTCTTATTTTAAGATGTGGTTACCTGGTATAATATAGGCTTCTGTCTGGTTTATGAATGTCAGCTTTTCATTTTCTTTCCTATTAAGGTTTTTGCCTTTTCTGTAACCCAGTTAAGTCTCAATATTTCCATTCTGTGAATATTTCAATGAAATTGACCCAGGTGCTGTAAAATTGATTAGAAATCATAATCTAGAGCTTATATATATGATATTAATATTGTTATATTATGATTGTATTATAATGTAATTATTCTTACATAATTATACTACATATTACATGATTATGTATTATTAAATACATTATTATATTTAGGTTCTCATAGGTGTTCCACATCTGGATCAATGGGACAAAATGTGTTAAATAGTGATAGGAAGTATGCCTTAAATTAAGACTAGACTAGAACACTGCTATTTGTCCTTAAAATGTATGGGATTTTTCAAATATTTAACTCATGAGAAGCCATAAGAAGGACTAGTGACAAAGGGTATCTCTAATTCCATGTGTGAGAAGCCAAGACTTTATATTAGATGTTAAAAATAATTATTCAAGTTCATTTTTACTTTTGTGCAGGGTAGTTAGGAATAGGCAGACTTCAAAAAAGAAAAAAAGGTATCTAATTTTGCAAATAATATAAATTCAAAGTATTTTCCCCAATTGAGATTTCCTAAGAAAGAGTCTAACGTCTATTGCCTTTTCCTGTTTGCTATCCATTCTTGTTTTGTTCTTTGGTTCTGATTCCTGGCTTGAGCCATTAGTTGACTTTTCTGTTTAAAGCTTGCTTCTGTCTAAAACCAAACCAAAATGGTTAGTACATATTATGGGCAGAGAGAGAGAGTACTTTTGGAAAACATAAAATCTATTCCTCTTTTCTTTAACAGAACCTCATCTTACATTTTTGTCAACTTTGGCACAACCAAGAATTTTTAAGTGCTCACAAGTTTCAGGAGTGTGTTTTGCTATTTTTGTGTAAATAGAAACTTGTGGTCCTTCTAGGGATTGACTGCTTTGACTATTTCCTGTAAAACTTCTCAACACTGTCTTGCTGTCTTCTGAATATTTCTGAATGCCACGAATACAGTGATGTGTGTAGAAGCTTTGTGTGTGTGTGTGTGTGTGTGTGTGTGTAAGAATTGTTTATGTTGGGGCCCTACTTTTAGAAACTATTAAAAACAATCTGCTTTTTAACACTTACTGGAAATTTTGGGCTCAACAAAAGCACAAAGATCTTGTGTAAATTTTTAATAGGTAAGCTTGACAGTCTGCTATCTGGCACAAATCCTGCTCTGAAATGATTCATATTCTAGAAGCATTTTATAACGTATCTTAAAAAGTGAATAGAGTAAGATGGAAAAGAAAGCATTCTTAGAAATATATACTAGTCATTTTTATATCTTTACAACAATGTTACAGATATACCTTTACTAAAATATCTAAAGAAAAATACTGCTGCTTATTTCAGAATGACAGTGAAGATATCATATTTATGTAGATTCCAGTAATGTTAATGCCTTCACTTTATAAACTAGATTACAGTTTATATCATGCTAACTTTTTCATTCATTAATTTCATAAATATTTATTGAGTGCCATCATCTTGCACTAGGTAGAAGGAATAATAGGAAGTCCAGCACTGAGTAGATCCTCCCTGCAAACCTGTTTTGTACGTCTTCAGGTCCTGGATCATATGTCAGGGCTCTTCCCTTTCCTTGGTGCTGCCATATTAGGAGCAGCAACCATTCCTCCCTCCTCACATATAGCCTATACACTTTCCCCTTCCATCTGTCTCTTCCATCCAATGGTAGAAAAACTTTGAAGGAATGTAAAGATGTTTCCTCTAACAGAAACATTTAGATCCCATCCTGTACTGCAGCAGGACCTCTGTGACTCATTCCTGAAGCAGGCTTTCACACCCACAAGCAGCAATGATGTTACACCCCAAGGAGATAATGCCAGTGGTCTGTGCTCATGCTKCACCAGGCATTCTTTTAGCATTTCAAAAATATTAATTCATGTAATTCCCAAAATAGTCTTGTGAAGTCGGCACATTTGACATGGGGAACTCAGTTACAGGAGGAACAACTTGCCCATGATTACACAGCTGCATGGAGCAAGGATGAGGACCCAGCCCCCAGGATTCAGACCCTATGCTCTGATGCACTCTGCTGTACCAGGGAATAGAGCTGCCATAAGGTTGTTATAATTTTTCACTGCATGAGTGCTTAAAGTGACATTTTCTCAGAAGAGCTTTACCATGCACTATACTGTGATCAATAGTTGATTTGATCAGTCATAATTCTTAGAATTAGATTTTTACCTTATGTATCCATTTCTTGGATTTTGCCCATTCTTTCACTTAAATATTAGGAGCTGAGTGTAGTGGCGCACACCTGTAATCCTAGCAGCTCGGAAGGCTGAAACAGGAGAATGGGGAGTTCAAAGCTAGTCTCAGCAAAAGTGAGGCACTAAGCAACTCAGTGAGACCCTGTCTCTAAATAAAATACAAAAAAGGGCTGGGGTTGTGGCTCAGTGGTCAAGTGCCCCTGAATTCAATCCCTGGTACCCCCCCTCCAAAAAAATTTAGAAAATAACCCAAATAGTATGATTCACTTAGAAAGTGGACATCTTGTGAGTGATGGAAATAAGGGAATTAGATGTAAACTATTTCCATGTAATGTCAGTATTTTTAAAGTATACACATTTATGTCTCTTATTTTCATCCATAATTTTACATTTCTGCTAAAGAAGAAGTGTATGTGGATTGCAGAACTTTTGGGGTAAAAGGCTAATTGTTCATGCACTTTCTGTCAGAAATTCTGTTCCAATGGCAGGATGTTCCTATCTGGCACTGGCAGTGAATAGGTGTTGAATTGTCACCTGAGTTCCCTGAGCGTCCAGGCTATTTAATATCCTCACATTTTGAGTGATCTTTTACAGCTCTCTGAAGACAGCCATTCCCACCTAATGTGTTTTCCCTGTGGCTTCAATGGTGTTAAAAATAAAGAGGAAGATAATAAAGAATTTACAAAAGATACAGGAAAATTTTAAAATTGAACAAAACCACAGGGAAGAGAAGTAAATGCTTATGAGAAATTATGGAGAAATGACATGGCTTTTGATGTTTTTAAAGTTTGTTACAGCACACTCTAGGGTTTTGTGGTAGTTTGGCTGGGTGGCAGATGGACATCCTGGGTTCTTTCTCTCCACTTGGAATCTACCTACCATACAGTTTCCTAATATTTCTTCTGACTTGATTCCCAGAATTCTAGTGACTGTGCATCTACTACCCTTTGTCATAGAGATTCTTGTGCTGTGTGTCAGGAGCAGAAATCACCTCCTCCCCTACTCTATTTCTAATACACCCTGTGATAAAAAAGTCTTTTATTAAGTATTTAGCCTTGTTATTACTATTACAGATATTCTTACTCTACTAACATTCAGCTAATTGTGAATGTYCAGTCTTTGTGGTCTTGTGAATTCAACACAGTTTCCCTTCTTCTCTCTTTCCTTGCTATTATGATACTGTGGGAAAAGTCCAAATCTGTGTGTTGTTAGTTGAGGGTTCTGCTACGATGCAGCTGTGGAACCTTAAAGAGAGAATTTTATTTTTCTGTTTCAGCTTGTTTGGTTGTAAAGTAGGAGTCATGTTATATGGCCTCCACAATCCATTACGGATACAGAATTTGTTTTTCTTATGTGCGTGTTTAAATATCCCTAAATTAAGGGTGGAAATAATTTCTAAAGGGAATTAATGAGCAACCAACACTACTAATCAGCACATTGTACATACTTTGTGTTTTAAAGTCAATGCTGATAGTCAGAAAATATTGGACAGAGAGTGATCATTTTTTTAATGATGCCTTCATGTTCTTCCAGCCAGACCTATTTCCTGATAATATGCAGTTCTTTGAAGTTTCTTTTTTAAAAAAAATTCATCTAGAAGACTAAGCTCAGTAATTAGAGACAGGGTTTACTTTTTTGTTGGTTAAGCAAACTTTATTGTGTATATTTAAAGTATGCAACATAATGTTATAAGAGGAAAAATATATATTCAGTCGTACCGTATAGCAAAATAGTTATAGAGGTAAAACAAATTAATACATCCCTGATATCATATAGTTTCCCATTTCCTCCAAGAACAGCAATAGTCTACCCAGTCAGGAAAAATGCTGAATATGCTATGATTAATTAACTAGGGCCCTCGCATTGCACATTAGATCTTCCTACATGTTCGTCCTTCATATTCACCACTATGCATCACATGTTCTGAATCTCCCTAGTTCCTCCCTCCCCAGCTACCCTGGTAACCACTGTTTATTCTCTGTTTATATATATTTTACCTTAAGGATGGTTACTTTTTATTCTGCCTCATGTATTGACATTTCCCCATATATTTTTTGTGACAGTTTGAATAATACCCACTCTAAAATATATAATTACTGTCCAACATACACATGCACACAATTACATGCTTTCAAGTTCAAAACTAAAATTATGCCATGATGTATATTTCCTTTTATAAASTCAACTATTAGATAAGAATTTATCTTACATTTAATGTATTCTAATTGTATACTTTATAAGCTATTAGAATAAAATTAATATATATTTTAATATTTAACAGATTATTGCCCAAATAGTTACTACTGAAATACTACTCTAAACTGTTTATCTTATGGTATAATTTATGTGATCAGTTTTACATGGCTAGATAAGAGTAATATAAATTTAAAACCTCCTTCATTGGTTGATTTGTGGGCAAGTAATTTTACTGTCAAAAACCAATTTGCTCCTTTGTTTTCTGATATTTTATGTAAATTATAATTGATATTATTTTAGTTCCATCTCCTGTGTTAATTTTCTCATTTAATGTAATTTGCTCCGTTTTCCTAATAGCAATTACTTGGCGAGCTCTCAGAGGTAACCCACACTCATTCCCTCCTGGCAATTCTTTTAATATAATTTTTTGGATTCAATCTCTGGACTTAACACCCTCCAAATGTTCCAGCTGTGCTTAGTTTTCATTGCAGAGTTCCAGAGAGACCAAGTTTAGAGAAAAATGTGTAATTCAGAGAAGGTTAAAATTTCAAAAACAGTTCAATTTTAATGGCTTTTGGGGGCTTGTTACTTGCATAATTTCCCTCCTGAAGTAGTGTCTTGCATGAATCAGGAGTTCATCTCTCAATAACTTTAACCCTTGAGAATTCTCACTCAGCTTTCATTGCTAAATCAAAGTGACTCATTCCAACTTAATTATGAATAAGAAAGTAAATTTCCTATGAGGTCTAGTAATTCCAACTTCTTCCAGAGAAAGACAGAAGGAGAGATTTTTGTCTTGAACAGAACTCTGTATTTGTGAGAAAAAATGGGTAAGAGTTAGGAAATGACTGTTCATGGTACAAACATGGGTCCACCCCAGGCTGCCAAGCTGACAGCTTTGTCTGAAGCTGAGGGGTTTGTGGGAATGCGAGACTTTCAGTGCTAATTACTAAGAAAGTCCCCGGCAACTAGAAGGAGTTGGTCAAGATTTCATCTGTATTTGGAGYTCCAGAACCTTTGGCACAGAAGGAAACAGCTCAGAGTGGTTTTTCCTCTAAGACTTTCCATAAGTTGATGGCGCATTGAAGTCATCAGTTCTGTAACCTTCAAGCAGAAACAGCCAAGAGGCAGAAATTGAACAGTAGGTAAAGTGAAGAAGATAGGGAGGGAAACAAAAGTGATGTCAGCAATCAATACTGATTCTGCTTCCTCTATGTCATGGCTTACCAACCAGTTCACAGAATGGCTGTCTTGGTTGCCTTCTTAGCACAAGGAAGACACTTTTTCTTGTTTTTCATGTCAGAAGTTGTAAGCAGGAGGAGAAAAAGGAAAATATGCAAGTAAATATGATATAAATCATGAAAAATTTTCACATGGGCTTGGATATTTTTATATTGGTTTTATTTTTTAAAAAATCTCTTGTTCTGTTAGATCATACCAATAAAGTTGTGTTATATAGCAGTGACAGATAATGACGTGAGGCACAGAACATTTGGTGAGCCTGTCTTTAGGCTTGATTGTGTCAATAACATACAGTGTATTCAGTTGCTCATAGCATTATTTGATGGATAGCAAAACACTGGCTGTTCTTGTTTTTTATGAAAGCAGAAAATATGAATCATATTGTGCAATGCAGAACTATCGCTTTTTGGTTTATTTAAGCTTTATAAACAATAAACTCTGACACTTTTGAAACATTAATGTGAGAATTCATTAACCCTTTATGAAATTACATGCAAAGAATATTCTGGTCAAGGGAACATTGAATATATTTTGGGGTGACTTTGGTGTGTGCTAAGTATTGAGTTTTGGTGATGTTTGCGGTATTTTGGTTGCTTTAAATATATTATTGGCCCAAATATAGGAAGAATATTTTGTGGAGTATAGTAGTAATAATAATAATGCATTCTAATATATTATTTCTATATTAGAAATGCTTCAGGTCTTGAATACTGGGGGAATTAGCAATCTGTTTCTGTCCCATCTAACTTCATGGCAGAATCTTGCCCCTCTTTGCTTTTTCTTCTTCCCTTGCTGCCTGTGTCCTCCTCCCTGCCCTCTGACTCCCCCAGTACTTGGCAGCATTATAATGGCCTCTTTCAGTTCTGCTTCCATCTTTGCGTTACTCCCTTCCCACCTTCCCCACCCTGCTGGTTGGCAAGTGTTGGCTTTTAAGAGATGGCTCAGGAGAACGCAGGCTCCTCCCCGTGCAGTTCCACAGGTGCTGTTCATTTGCTGTGAAGGCAGTCATGATGAAGGCCAGCATGTTGTTTTCTGAGTAATTTTAATTTTGAAATGTGGTGTGTGTGTTTGTTTTTTATTTCTGTGGAAGTTGGGGAGGAGGAATCACTTGAAATCAATGTTACCTTATATTTGGGCCAATTTAAAATGTAGAAATAAATACTGTTCTAATCAAAGGACCAGATTGCCAAAAGGTCTTATTGCATTTTATATATTAATCCTAAAATTTAGGATAATTAAATTGTACCACCGCAGTATTTAAATCATACCTCAATTACAAGGCRTCACTCTCTTTGATTCTAAAAAGAAGATGTGCCTTTTGAGAATTTGGAGCCTCTTACAAGTGCAGTTATTTATTAGTTAAAAGTATTTTGTTTAAAGTTTTAACTGTTGTGTTTTTAGTAAGGAATATGTATACTGTTTTATAATAGCCAATATTTATGGTTTAAAAATTATTGAGAAGCATTGTTTATTTTAATCACATCTGCCTTTTTAAATACAAATTCCCACATACCTTTTTTTTTTATAGTTTGTGAGTTGCAGTCATCCACATTAACCAAAGACCATAACTTTTTTTCCCTCAATATTTCTTGTTGGTACATTGTAGTTGTACATAATGGTGAGATTTATTGTCAAATAGTCATACATGCACACAATATAACAATATAGTTTGGAAATATATATATTTTGTGTGTGTGGTGCTGTGGATCAAACCCTTGACCTTGAGTATCCCAGGCAAGAGCTTCCCTCTGAGCTGCACCCCAGCCCTGAAGACCATGTCTGTATCCTCACACCATCCACCCTACAACATACCCATTTTAACAAGAAAAATCTGATTTTAATAAATTAGCATGGAGATTGAAATAATTGAGATGAATGTTTTAAAAATTATTTATTTTAGAGCATAGTCCTTATGAGAATATTGCTCCTCTCCTTAATAAATTACTTATAGTATATATTTAAAATAAGGAGCAAATGATGCTTAATGCTATTGACATTGACTTCCAGTGCCATTGAAATCACTAGTAATTATTTTCTGTAAAACCAGAAGTCATTTGATCTACCCTGGTCTTATATGAGTCCAAGACCAAATTTAGTTTTCTTGACATTTATTATTATAATACTGTTTGCTCTTGGTGTATCCTTGCTACTTGTTACACTTACATGTTGACCTTGAACAAATATGCAGAATGTTTAAAAGATTATTTTTAATTATTATTCACTATATAGGATCAGAAGTGTGTGTATGTATGCATACACATATGCAAAATTATTATAGACTTGCAAATAAGCTTAAAATAAATAGCAAATGATGTCCTGTCAATGTATAATTTATTTCCTAAATATAGGTACTTTTCAAAAATTTCAAGTTAATTATTTGTCATTTTATAGAAACAAAGGATGGAGTATGGTCCAAGACCAGCTGATACTCCTTCTGCCCCATCACCTCCTCCAACGCCAGCTCCTGTTCCTGTCCCCCTTCCACCTTCTGTACCAGCACCTGTTCCTGTGTCAAAGGTCCCAGCAAATGTAACACGTCAGAACAGCAGCTCCAGTGACAGTGGTGGTAGCATTGTACGGGACAGCCAGAGACACAAACAACTGCCCGTGGACCGTAAGTTTCCAGGGAGGCAAAAAAGTTTCTTCTGTGAATTAAAAGCACTGTTAAGTAAAATATTGTTTATTCTTGATTCTGTTGTTACTAGATATTATTAAATATGAACTGTACTTCTTTATACTTGCATGGTCTTCATAGATTAAGGAGATTTTTCACCTCGTTTCTCATTGTTTAAAAACTGATTAGCAGGAAGTTCTCTCCATTCTCTCCTGTAAGTATTTCTACACATATTCCAATGTTGTGGCAGTTGAATGCTTGCTCAGAAGTTCCATATACTAGAATTTGTATACCAAAGCATCACTTACTGGCCCTGTGACCTTCAACAATTGAATAATCCTCTTTGTATTTTAGTGTCTGAACAGTGGGGACAAAAATAATGGTGTCTGCTTTCATAGAATGAGTGTGCAAATTCAATGATAATGCATGTTCAGTGTTTAGACCAGTGCTTCTCAGCCAGAGGTGACTTTACCTTTCTCTCCCTTCCCCTGGGGACATTTGATATCATCTGGGGCATGTTTACTGACATCAGTGGGTACAGGCCAGAGATGTTTAGCAGCATTCTGTAATGCACAGGACAGCTGCATTCAACAGGATTACTTGGTCCAAAGTATCACCCRTGCTGAGGTTGAAAGTCTGGTTGATTTGACCACCATGTGATACATTATAAGCAGTCAGTAGATATATTCTGCTGTCATTGTTTTCCTCTTTCTCTTCTCATATCTGTTATTCTCAAATGCACAATCTCACTAGCTTACTATAATTGTCTGCCAAAAATGATCTCAAACATACCCTTCAAATTCAGATTTCATGTAATTTAGACTGCAGGTTTGGTTCATATTTTCATAAATGTAAATTTGATTTTTTATAGAATGGTTTCTATGAAAACCAATTTAAATAAACTGACAAAAAAGACACAAAAGACAATCTGGCCAACTTTTAATTATCTTTGTTAGTATTGGAAAGAACAGGAAGTTTTGAAAACTGAGGTAAATCTTATGTAGTTTTTATTTTACTTTGTAGTATACCATTTTTTCTTTTTTAAAATATTTTTTATCCAAATTGTTTTTAAAGAATTGTAATATTACTTTGCTTTACCTATACTTGTCATATACTACTCTTGGAAAACTAAAGRCCAGGAAGACATTTCATATAGAAAGATGAGTGTGTGCGTGTGAGTGTGCATGTGTGTAAAATGGATATATCTATTATATTAAATATTATATTATATTATATTAAATCTGTCAATTTAGGACTCTGAAGGTTTTGTATTCTTTTCTCCATGTGAATATATAAATATACTTTTACTATAAATGTTCAATCTGTTTCCATTTTTTTGAATACTTTATGTTGTGAAAAAAGAACAATTCCCAGCTTATTCTTCAAACCAGATCTCATTTCTGACTTCCAGACACACATATTCAAATATTAATTTTATTGCTGAGATCAGACACCTGATTCATATTAAAAACTAAAATTTCAAATCCTTTTCACCCTACTGTTTTTTCATTTAGTAAGTTTTAGCCATATCTATTTTGTTATGATTTTTTTTTATACTGGGAATTGAAATCAGGGGTGCTTAATCTCTGAGCCACATCCCCAGCTTCATGCTTCCACCTTTTTTTTTTTTTTTTTTGAGGCAGGGCCTCATTAAGTTACTGAGTGAGGCTGGCTTCAAATATGTAATCCGTCAGCCTCAGCCTGACGAGTTCCTAGGATTACAGGCATGCACACTGTGCCCGGCTCCGTTGTGATCATTCTTGATAGAAACAATTTAAAAAAGAACTAAAACTAATACTATTTAACTTCTGGAAATTAAGCATAGGCCTACTTTTATACATTACTTTCTCTTCCAGGGTGTAGCTGATTTAAATACCTTCTTATTCATATCTTGACCTTACCAGAAAACTAAAGGAAAAATGAAATTTTACAAAAGCATTTAGCTCTTTCTGTTCAGCAAAAATGATTGTGTGTATGACTGTGTAAGTGTGAATAACCATAATAAAATATAATGTGCTACATGTGGATTTTTCAAAAAGATGGTTTTTACAAAGACACTAATAATTTTAAGATGAAAAAGTTCTTGTTTTTTAAGTATTTTTTAGTTGCTTTATTATTTTCTATTATTTTAGATCTTTATTATTTTCATTTATTTATTTATATGCAGTGCTGAGACTCGAACCCAGTGCCTCACACATGCCAAGCAGGTGCACTACCACAGAGCTACAGCCTTGGCCTCGAGATGAGAAAGTTCTATAAATATTTTATTGATTTCCCTAAGGAAAACTTTCCTCTTAAGGAAATGACTGCTCCTTTCTTCATTCTTCCCACAAGTTTGTGACATTTCCCTCCTTTGTTAGGTCAGCACAATAATCTTTGACACCATGGTCCTCTTTTTTCCAGGCCTGTGGTCATAGTTCATAAGCATCCAGTCCCYATTTGGAACAGTATGTGGATTGGAACAGTTTGTTCTTTGTCCAACTCTAAGAAGCTAAGAATAACCTAATGGGAAAGAGGCATAGTTAGAATACTTTAAAGATAGAGAACTCTCTTGATAATTGTAACTCATCATTTTCAAGTCTGTTTTTCATAAGTAAAAGGATGACATTGACATATAAAATATAAACATCTCTCCCCAAATTAATACATACACTTATTTCCTTAAATTTGTAATTACTTTTGTGAAGTTCTTTTTAAAAGTATCTCAAAGGTATAGTTTAACATTAAACAAAAGTAATTTTTTATAAAACTTATTTATTTCTTAATAGCACTCCTTCAAGGACATTTTTTTTTCTCTCAATGAATGTTAGAACTTGGTAACAATCATTTAGAATCAAACAGACATGTTTAATTGTGTGTATATTGGAGAGCCAGATTTGTCTCAAAAATGCCCATTTATGCTATGTACATTCTCTGTTTTTTGCCTAAACCTCTCATAAAAATAAAATAGGAGGAACTAGAAAGTGAATACCCATAAAAATGTTATCAAATAGCCATGGTGGACAAGAACCATCATGCCTATTTTTAAAATATAACAAATGGCCACAGTTAAGATCCCCTTTGCTGCTGTGTGACTGTGTGTTACCTATTTAGAGTAGCTGCTGGGAGCCATGTGTCATAAGCTGTTTAAATTGGTTTATCGCAGAATCCACAAAGATTCTATACCTATCACTATTGAAGATACTAACACCGTAGTGCTTTGCATTTCTTCCATTTCCTTTGAAATGTTAGTCCTTCTATTTGAGTTTAATCTGTTGTAATCAGAACTGTTATTTTAGAAAGAGGCGTGAAGTTAGTTCTGATTTGTTGTGTGTTTGAACATTGAAAATGGAAACCAAAAGCCAGGATCATGTTAGAAAGAGGCTTTTTGTATTTCCTGGAAGAAGACTATGCCACAGATTGGTGATCCTCAGTGTGGTGGCTAAGTCAGTGTGTGAGAAAATAAATAATTTGGTGTGGTGATACTTTTTAAAAATTCCTTTCAGACAGACTCATACACTGTATAATTTAGTAATTTAAGAATCACCTAATGAAATACAGGTTTTGTGATACTTAATTGCAATAATCAATAGTATTTTTTCTCACTTTATCTTGTACTTCTTCCTTTTTTCTTTTTGCCTCTTCCCTCCCTCTTTTCTTCTTCTTTTGACTTTCTAAATACTCAAGGTATTAAAAAATTAGACTGAAATAATGCTATGTGATTATTTCACACTTTTCCCCTATTTTACAGGGATACCAAACACTTTCTAAAACATTTTACCTGAAAAGAAAAGAAAAAGGTGTAGAACAACAATGTAATAATGGTCACAAAAACCTCCCTGAGGGAGCAGATCATTGCCACTTCCCAAGTTGATTAGTTAATTGGATTACTGTATCAGTAATTTTGTTTTTAACATTTTGAAAACAATATACAGATATTGTTTTTAATTCTTGAAAACAATATACATATAACTTAATGTACTGATGTATGTATACACACACTTTAAAAATGCACACGCAAACACATTATTCACATTCGTATACTTGCTTTTTTCCCTGGCATCCTCAAAGTGGTAGTTCAACCATGCATCTTCCCCAGAAGCATAAATGGCTGGGGGAGAAGGACAGTAGTGAAATTAATCAAAGGGAGTCTCAATGACTCGGACCATAAAACAGGTCTGAGCTGAAAGTCAGAACATGTAGTTCTAGCTAAATTCTATTTCTAATTAACAATGTGACTTGGACAGATCATTTCTCCGTTTGGCCTCCATGTTTTCATCTGGCTATTTAAGGGATTTGTATATGATGATTTGCAAGGTCTCTCACAGTGAAAAATTCAGGAGAATGCCTCCTTCATTAATTTGTTCAGTAAGCATTTATGGAATCACTACATTTCCCAAGTACTGGGGATATAGAATTAAACAAAACAGGGAAAATCTCTTTTTGTCTTCAGGCTTGCATTTTAATGAAAGGAGATAGATATACAGTGACATATCAAGAGGATATTAGAGTGTTAGTTTGGAGAATAATATAAGCTTTGTAAATGGAGAGTGCTGTTGGGGGAGGGAGTGACTACAGTTTAAATAGCTCAGGGGATATCTGAAGGAGAGGAAGGAGGAACCCTCTGGATATTTAGGGGACAACATTTCAGGCTAAGGAGGCTTGACTGGCCTTTAAATTTGAAAGCACCAGAGAAGCCATTGAGAACTAGAGTAGGGGGTTCAGGAGAATTATTTGGATTTGGGAGATTATCCATCTTTCTTGTCTATCTAGATAGATACAATTATTTTTATTTTGGCAATACTAGAAATTGAACCCAGGGCCTTACACATGCTAGACAAGTGTTCTACCACTAAGCTATGTCTCCATCACTGGATTTGAAGTGTGTGTGTGTTTAATTCTTTTTAGTTGTTGATGGACCTTTATTTTATTTATTTATATGTGGTGCTGAGGATCGAACCCAGTACCTCACACTTGTGAGGCAAGAGCTCTACCACTGAGCCACAACCCCAGCTCTGGATTTAGAATATATTTTGATGGTGGTACTAACAGGATATTCCTACCATTAAGTGAGATCATGAGGGTGAGGATCAGGGAATGGAGTAGATTAGACTTGATTCTAATAGGCAGAGTTTAGGATGGATTAGGTGTAGTGTAGTTCCATGGTATTTTTAACTAGAGAAACTGGAAAGATAGAATTCACTAGCTGGGAAGTCTAAAAAAGTCCAGAATCTTAATAAAAGAAAACTTCAGGAAGAAAATTAAGAATTTAGGTATGAAAAGTTTTATTTGAGGTATATTTCAGAGAGTTAATAGATATCCAATRAATATATTAAGTAGGCAAGTTAACATGCGAATCTAGACTTCTGCGTAGTAGTCAGGACTGGTGTTTTAGTCAGCTTTTTCACTACCGTGGCCAAAAGAACTGACAAGAACAATTTTAGAGAAGGAAAAATTTATTTGGTGTTCTCAATGTCAGAGGTCTTAGTCCATAGATAGCCAACTCCATTGCTCTGGGCTCAAGGAGAGGCAGAAGATCATGGCAGAAGAGTGTGGAGGAGGAAGGTAGCTCAGGAAATGGAAAACATAAAGCAAAGAGAGAATGCTCTGCTCACCAGGGACAAAATATGAACCTCAAAGACACTCCCCCAGTGACATACTGCCAGCCATACCCTACCTGTCTACAGTTAGCACCTAATTAATCCATATCCATGGATTAATTCATTGATTAGATTAAGGCTCTCATAACAGTCATTTCACCTCTGAAAGTCCTTGCATTGTTTAACAAATGAGCTTTGGTGGGGGCTTATATTTAAACCATAACAATTGGAGCAATAGTTTGGTAGTCATCAGCCTTTAAATGAGATGAGGCACAGTGATCATTGATGGAGTATGTATAGGCAGAGAAGAGGTGCACAGTTTTTTTCCTGGTGTACTTTAATATTACTAAGTTTCAGAGATGAGACCATTCAGAGGAAGATACTGGAAAGGAGTTACCAGRAAGGCAGGAGGAAAATCAAGAGAGTGTGGAGTCCTGGAGACCCCAAGATGAAAGTGTTTCAAGGAGGAATCTCCGACTTCAAACTTTGCTGACAGGTTAAATGAGATTATGGCTAGGAATGAATTGGCCACGAGTTTAACAAAGTGTAGAAGAGAGAGGAATTGAATTGCAATGAATCTAAGGAAATGGAAAAATAGGAATGGATTCAGCTAAAGGAGGTGATGCTTCGTGGAATTTTGCTTACAAGGGAGCAGAGAAACGGATGGCATTTGGGAGGTGACCTAGTAAAGACTTATCTAAAGGTAAGAGAAATAATAGGTAAATTGTTGCATATTTAAATGAGCTGATGATTTAGTAAAGGGGGAAATTGATGCTGAAGTATTTGAATAGGCAGAGAATTTGGTGCCTGGTGTACATAGATGGGCTGGCCTTGGAGCATGGACACAGTTCATCTGTAATATAATGGGCAAAGGTATGTGGGGAGGAAGAAGAACCACTAGGGGAGCATGTGGATGTTCTCTTCTAACTCCATTATTTCATTCAGAAATTAGGATGTGAGCCAGGTATGGTGGTGCATGCCTGTAATTCCAGCAGCTTGGGAGGCTGAGGCAGGAGGATCTTGAGTTCAAAGCCAGCCTCAGCAAAAGTGAGGCGCTAAGCAACTCAGTGAGACCCTATCTCTAAATAAAATACAAAATAGGGCTGAGGATGTGGCTCAGTGTCTGAGTGCCCCTGAGTTCAATCCCTGGTGTCTCAACAGCCCCCCCCCCTCCCGAAAAAGAAATTAGGATGTGAGATTTTGAGGGTGAGGATTAGGGAATAGAGCTGGATGTTTACAGAGAAAGTAGAAGTTATTAGATAATTGGGTCAGATATTAATAATTGGGTCAGTGTGTAGCTATATGTGGTCTAGGTGAGGTTTCTCACCCTGGGCCCTGTGGTGGGAGGCTGGCTTATGCCCTGGAGGATGTTTTGCATATTGCAGGCCTCCAGCCACTGTGTGGCTGTGGCAGCCTTCCCTCTTTACTACCCTCGGCTGTGACAACCAAAAATATTTCTAGGCATTGCCGAATGTCCCTGGCATTGAAACTGTCCCTAATTGAGAAACTCTAAAGAAGTGTACTGTCACTGTTAGGGATTTGAGCAGATCCTTCAGGGTCACCACTGTAATAGTGGTGAATTTAACATGGGACCATTTGACAGCTGTGCAGGCCTAGAGTATGCAGGATGGTGGATTCACTGGGGCTGAGGCTTTACCAGATGAGTACAATGAAGAGAGGAGAGTTATTTTGGTAATTGAGCTTATACTGGGAAGATGGTTGGAGCCCTAGATTGTGAACCTATTGGGGTCAAAGGATCATTGGGATTGGGGTCTAGAAAGAGGGACATAATGTAAGGGATTTTCAAACATACCCTGCTTCCTATTGGTGTCTAGGAAGGAAGTCTCAGATGGAGGAAGTACAGGATGAGCTCATCCACAGGCTGACCATTGGTCGGAGTGCTGCTCAGAAGAAGTTCCACGTGCCACGGCAGAATGTGCCCGTTGTCAACATCACCTATGATTCCACACCCGAGGAGGTGAAGACATGGTTACAGTCAAAAGGGTTTAACCCTGTGTAAGTCTGTCTCTGGATCCTTTGTAGTTCTTTGTGTGAAGCATGCTTTATTTTCAATTGAGTCATTTACATTTCATAAATGGCTAAAAAATATAAAAGCCCAGACTGCATTCTTTGTTCCATACTCAGGAAGTGACTATACATAGCTAAAAAGGAAAAAACATGGGAGATACAGTAGAAATAACTATGAGTTGATGTCACCTTTTTCTTGTTGGTAGAATCTGTTCATCATTGGTCCCTTACACAGCTGTCAGCCCCTGGGAACTCTGGTAGTAGCTCTCTTTCTCTCTCATCAAGTTACACTAGGGTAGGACTGTGATCTTAAGGAAACTCCTCAGATCATGTAGACATGACATGTAGCATAGGTTTCCTCCTTCTGCAGGGTATAGTGTCTCAGGAAAATAATAAAGCAGTGACTACCTGTCATCAATTAAAATCTTAATAGTGCTTTTCTTTTAGTTAAGCCCATAATAAAGGTCCTATGTATCTAAAAATCTAAAAGTCTATAGACCCTTTATGTCTATTTGATACAATGAAATCTTTGAATAATACATGTTCTAAGAAGCCTGACATTTTATAAACTCATTCAGCACAACTGAAAGGTGCAATAATGATTAGTCAGTTGCCTCATAACTTGAAAGCTGTCTATTCCTGCTATGAAACACCCAATTTTAAGGAATTTATGTTAAACAATAGTAAAACTAAACCCAATTGGCTCCTTTTTGATGCTTCACAATCGGTCATCTTGTATAGCCTCTGGGTCTTGATCATGAAAGTCACTTGCTATTGCCTTTAACCAAGCACTAAAGTGACATTTCCTAAGAGTTTCCATGTATGAAACCCTTACAAAAACATTATTAGCAGAAACAGAAGATTTTGTCTCTTATTTCTATCTAGGCAATATTTTTAATGCTCTGTTTTTAAAATTTTTGTATTTCAGGACTGTCAATAGTCTTGGAGTATTAAATGGTGCGCAACTTTTCTCTCTCAACAAAGATGAACTGAGAACAGTGTGCCCTGAAGGGGCCAGAGTCTTTAGCCAAATCACTGTACAAAAAGCTGCATTAGAGGTAAGACTTGACAACTCAAAGTGTTTTTTTTTTTTTTTTTTTTTTTTTCCTGGCATTAGTCAAGAGTATGGACTGCAAATTGAAACTCTGGAAACAACTATCCTGGTCCACATTGGCCAATTTTCCTTTCTTACAAAGCTGAGTTAAATTTGATTCAGCTTTTGTAAATTTTACAGGAGATCATCAATGACCATTTTTAAGCAGATTAGTTTATTATAAATATTCACATAACAAAGCTTGAGCATATACTTTTGGATATTGAACAAAAAGCATAATCTCATTTTATTGCATTAACTACTGCTATAGAAAGTTTAATTTTTGCCAAAATAAAAAAAAAATCACATCTGAGTTCATAAATGCTTTAAGAGGCCAGAACTCTTTTGCCTGTTCTTAATATTTAGTTTGGAGGTCTTAGTAGGTTATAAAGTCTTAAAACCCTAGCTATGTGTCTTAAACCTGGTTTTACTTCTAAATAATTGGGGTAGAATATTAACTAGAGATCATTGAAAACAGTGAGCCCTGAGTAGTAATTATTTAGTCATAGTTGTCTGTATGAAAGGAGAGTACATGTTTTCTAGACTGGATTTACTTAAGATTCTCATATCCTCCTCTACTTAAAATAGGCTATGTAAAAGTACTGGTTTCCAATGGTTACATCTCATAGCTCTTACACTTGGTGTGTTCTGGGCCTACTCTGGCCTGTTTTAAAATCCAGAGGAGCTAGGCACAGTGGTACATACCTGTAATCCTAGCACCTTGGGAGGCTAAGGCAGGAGGATCCAAATTTGAGGCCAATTTCAGCAACTTAGCAAGACCCTGTCTCCAAAAATAAAAAGGACTGGGGATATAGCTCAGTGGTAAAGCTACCCTCAGTTCAGTTTCCAGTACTACAATAACAACAACAATAATGTCTCCTTAAAGGAAGATGCAACTGTGTCTTGTTTGACTCAGAAAGGGTTCTTTGATAATTTACCCTGTTATTGTACTTATTATACACATATCTCCTCCCCTCCCTACCCCCCCCCAGAGTCAGAGCACTTGATGTGCACTATTGGTCCTTCTCTACCATGTTGAAATGAAACATGGGGACAGAATTCCATCGACAGGCAGTGTTAATGTGATATTGGTGGGCTCCAGAAGCTTCTCCTATGTGCAGGGAAGCCTTTAGTTTTCCTGAAGAAACACTACAAGAAACCACAGTTGACTTTCACCCTGAGGTGCTTTGTTACATGCCCCACAGCTGAGACAAACCAGTAACCATCTTGTCTGAACCATGTTTGTTTTTCAGGATAGCAATGGCAGCTCTGAGTTGCAAGAAATCATGCGAAGACGACAGGAAAAGATCAGTGCTGCTGCTAGTGATTCGGGAGTGGAATCTTTTGATGAAGGAAGCAGTCACTAATTTGTTGTTTGTTTTTAAACTCCATCTTTCTTGGCATTACTACAACATGCTTTGTTTTAAGAAGCCTTGAAGGGAATGTCAGATCTGTTTTTCTTGGTATACATAATTTATTGCCATAAAAAACAATACCTGAGTAAGCAGAGGAATTGCTTTTGGGCCCATTATTTTTATTAAAACTGACACATTTTAGACTGAATTTTTTTTTTTTACCTTTGGGAATATTTTTCCTACTTTAACAATTAATTATTTCACCCCATCTTATTGTATAAGTAGGAATTTATTGTCCGTGATTCAAAATCTAAACAATTCATTTTTTTTGTACGTGTGGTGTCAGGCATGGTGTAGCTCACTGAGGCTGGCCTCTGCATTCTTGGGTCTCTCCTCTGACATGCTTAATGATAGAATATTTAGATTTATTTTAAGTTCTTAATGCCAACTGTTTAAAAATTAAAGCATCAAATGAACTGTATAGTCAGCCCTCAGACATGCAAATAACAACCTCTGGAGCATTCTCAAAACATTTTATTTGTCATGGCTCTGTTGATTGCAATTCCTTGCATAGCTTGTATTTTGATTTAGTTTATATTCTGCTTATTATGTATACTGTGTTCTTATATATAAGAAAGCACAAGTGGAAAGAGGTCATATACCTTCAAAATCTATCACAGGAAGTAGCCTGCATTGGTGTGCATTACAGTATTTTGCCTAATGAAGGCCTCAGTTATGAATATTGATATAAGTAGTTCAACGATATTGGGGCCATTTCATGTGATTGTCTGTGTCAAGTCTTTCTGGTGATAAGAAACATATAATTTACACATACTTTAATCTTATGAAAGATTCTAGATAAAGAAAAGAAAGATACCTAACCTTCAACAAATGTTATTTTTGGAAACACGATTTTTGTCATTAAATGTTATATTATTTCACATATATAAAGCAGATGTTATGTAAGAATGTTGTATATTTTAACATAAATTCATTTAGAGAGATTATCTAGATTCATTAATTTTTCATAGTGCCTTTTTCACATGAGTCAGCTGGAAAGTCTACAATAAACAGTATTTGCTGTATGTTAACAAATGGTTTCTGTCTTACTGGCAAAAACGATCTTTGCTCTGTAGACTGAGAATTAGATAGAATGGAACGAGAAAAAATACTGGTCACTTGAAAACCAACAACTAAGTTCTAGTCAATTTCTGAGTGGGTATAAATTGCTCCAGAATATTTTCTTCCATTGTTTCTCCTCTTTCACCTCGTTTATCCATCATCTTTACCTTTTACCATCTAGTCACAGTTGGTAACAGTGGTGAAAATTTATTTACACTGTTCTTACAATTGATAAATGCGTCCACATAAATTCTTGACTCAATATCTACAATAACCCTGTGAGTTGTATTTTTATAAATGAGAAGCTATAGCTTCTTAGAGGCTGGACTTCCCCAGGACATGAAGGATGTGGGGGTCTTTCATCTCCCATCTTTGCCTCTCTATCCTACTGACCCTTATAGTAAGTAGAGCAAACATGAGGATGACAAAGTAAAATTAGTTCAGGCCTTTTACATTTCTTAAGCACYGCTTAAGAAATACCTTAGGCTTATTGAAATTATCTGAAAACATGAAGACAGAAGATAATAAGATTAAAACATTAGGATAACTTGAATGAAAAGTAAACATACTTGATAGTAAAATAATTGGTGCAATGTATGCCTTTATGTTATAAAATACCAAAGGAGTGCATCAAAGAGGTAATACTTGCAGGAAGCAGTTACCTCACTTAGAGTTGTGGGGACAAAGAGGAGAGATTGATGGAATTTAAAAGTTTGGGGGAGAGGCACTGTATAGTTTTTATCTAGACATCTGAGGAATTTGATCACCAGTACTTGAAAAGTTTGGGTAAAGAGCCCACAAAGCTGGCAAAAAGCAAACAAAACAAAACAAAAAAACCTAAAACATCAAAAAACTGAAAGGAGGCACAGCATAAATGCTCTTGCCTCAGGAATTCAAAAGAATTCCCACATTGAGGAAATAGTTTAGGAAAGCCATGATTCGGGATGTGGACTTCTGAGGAGAGCATAACACCAGGCTTCTGCTTGGCTCTCTATTGAAGCTATTTCTGGAGCAGGGGGAAAGACAAACTGGAAGCCTGAACCAACTACTGCTGCTGAAAATCATTTGCCACTTATTGAGTGAAGACCTAATGTGAGGGTGATGTTGGTAAAAAGAGGAATTAAAACAGGAATGAAAAGTCCCTTGTTCCCCTTCCTGCCTTCTCTCTCCCTGTAGCATATTCTTTAAGCAGAACATCAAGCATTCACCTGGTAAAGCCCCATATAATGAAGATGATAATAAAGGTGTGGATTTGAAGCTGAGAGAATAACTCAGTTCCAACTCATTCCAACTTCTGGCTGCTTGGCCTCTGTACCTACTYTTCTATGTGTGTTTGAAGTTCCATACAACAACAATTAAGAAGTTTATGACTTTTTCTAATGTGATACAATCATCCTTTGTAATTTGAAAATATGTAACAGGGCATTTAATACGAAGAATTGTTTAAATAGGTAAAAACAGAACGTAGAGATATCACAGAGGGCTTAAATAAGAAGCAGATCCCACTCCTAGGGATTGGGAGCAAAGGGAAGGGGTTATTTTTACCAGCATTTAGAAGAAGGGAGGCATGAGAAGAAGCTTAAACTTGGATCCATGAAGAGGAGGCGCTGTGTGGTAGGTGCTGGTATCTCAGGAGCATGGAAGAGAGCCTCCCTGTGCAGCTCAGAGAAACCTGTGTGGAGGGAATTCTGGCCGGTTGATGCTGGCTATCTCTGAGGGGTAATCATGCTGTTGGAACCCAAAATGTGGGAGTAAAAACCAAATCACCCATTGCTGACAACAACTGTTGGTGCCAAAGTGAATATCAGCAGGCTGATTTTCAACCATTTGATTATGGTATGCCGTTATGTCATTTTCTGCTTGTTCTTGGTTTCTTGGAACTTCGAGATTATAGTGTTTACTACATTTGGAAAATAATCAGCCATTAACCTTTTTTTTTTCCCCTGTTCTTCCTGCTGCTTCTCCTCAGGAGACTAGAATTGTGTATATTGTAGGACATATGAAGTTTTCCCAAGCTCAATGATGTTATTAATTTTTTATCCAGTTGTTCCCCGTTCTGTGTTTCATTCCGGACAGTTTCTATTCATGAACCTTTTTAAGTTCACTAATCTTTTTATTCCCTGCAACTTCTAATCTGATTTTATTACTTCCATTGTAATTTTTTATCTCAGATATTATAGTTTCTGTCTGTAAATAATGTATATATAAAAAATCTTCCAGGTCTCTACTTAATTTGCTCAATATTTCTTCAACTTTGTCAGCCATACAAATATAGTTAAAATATTAGTCATCAATTCTTCACAGAACTAGAAAATATAGTCCTAAAATTTATTTGAAAGAATAAAAGACCCAGAATAGCCAAAGCAATTTTCAGTCAAAAAAGCAATGTTGGGAGGCATCACAATACATTACTTCAAATTATACTTCAGAGCTGTAGCAACAAGAACTGGTAATCCATATGTAGAAGATTGAAATGAGACCCTTATCTCTCATCCTGCACAAAAAGCAACTCAAAATGGATTAAAGACCTCAGAATTAGATCAGAAACCATGAAACTCCTAGAAGAAAATGTAGGCTCAACACTCCAGCTTTWAGACATAGGCAGTGACTTTCTCTATAGCACCCTTAAAGTTCAGGAAATGATGATGCCAAGAATTAATAAATTGGACAGCATCAAATTAAAAGGCTTCTGTATAGTAAAGGAATTACGAGTTTGAAGAGAAACCACAGAAGGGGAGTAAATCTTTGCTATCTCCTCTTCTGACAGAGGATTAATATCTAGAATATATGAGAGCTCAAAAATCTTTATGCTAAAAAATAACCCAATTAATAAATGGGAAAGTAAGTAGACACTTGTCAAAAGAAGAAAGACAAATGGCCAATAAATACATGAAAAAGTATTCATCATCACTGGCAATTGGGGAAATGCAAATCAATAGTACACTGAGATTTCATCTCATACCCATCATAATGGCAGTCCTTAAGAATGTAAATAATAATAAATGCTATAATAATAAATGTTTAATAATAAACACTATTGGTGGGTCTGTAAATTAGTACAATCATTATGGAAATCAGTATGGAGTCTCCTCAAAAGACTAGGCATGAAACCATTTTATGACCCATCTATACCATTTCTCAGTATTTACCCTGAAGAATAAAATCATCATACTACAGTGATATATGCATGCCCATGTTTAGAGTGGAACAATTCACAATAGCCAAATTATGGAACCAGCCAAGGTGTCCATCAATGGATGACTAGATAAAGAAAATATGGGGCCTGGGGTTGTGGCTCAGTGGTAGAGCACTTGCCTAGCATGTGTGAGGCACTGGGTTTGATCCTTAGCACCACTTAAAAATAAATAAAATAAAGGTATTGTGTCCACATACAAGTAGAAATCTATATATAAAAAGAAAATATGGCATATATACACAATGGCATTTTATTCAACCATAAAGAAAAATGAAATTATAGCATTTGCAGGAAAATGAATGGAACTACAGAGGATCACATTAAGTGAAATAAGTCAAACTCAGAATAAAGTTAAGGACTGTATGTTTTCTCTCATATGTTGAAGCTGGACAGGAAACAGGAAAAMAAAGGTGGGTGTGGATCTCCTAAAAATCAAAGAGAGATCAGTAGAGGAAAGGGACCAAGGGTAGAAGACAGGGAGGGAGAGGAGAAGTGTTGAGGAGTGATATTGGCCAAATTATATTGTTATATTGTATGCATGCATGGATATATAACAATAAATCCCATCAATATGTACAACGATGTGTGCCAATAAAAAATTTAGAATGTTTTCCAATCTGGCTGCTAGGAATAAGTACTATTACTAGTCATGTTTGGTCTCTGAGATTTAATAATTATATAAAAAGAAAATATGGTATTTTCAGGTGGATCCTTTCTTGGCATTTCACACTTTTCTCATATCATACACTGATGAATACTCATTTGAAAACTCCATGGGGACCTGATGCAGATCTTTGCTCTTCACTGCAGTCTGTGAACTTTAGTTTTCTTGACCTTCTCATACTGTAAGCTTTATCATCTCAACACTGCAAGTCTGTTACATTCCTCATAAGAAATGTGTTTCAGGAAGAAAGCTGAAGCAATTGTAGAGATAATCTCATGTGTTTTCCATCTTTCAGCAATCACTGTCATTCATTGTATAGTGTCCAAATATCTTGAAAACTCTTGAATATATTTTATTTTATTACATTGGAGAATAAATTTAGTCCCTTTGACTTCTCCTTGGTCACAATTGGGAGTACAGTTTTATTTTGCTTTTAAAGTATGTTTCCACTGTTTATAAATTTCTAGGTTACCACTTACCATTCTGCATTTTAGAAATGTCATTCCATTGATTTCTGGCTTCCATTGTTCCTTATGACAACTCAGCCACCATTCATGTTTTCCCCCATTTTTCAAGATTCTTTTCTGTATCTTTCATTTTCAGTAATTTTATTATAGAGTTGACAGATGAATATGATGAATAGAGTTGACAGATGAATATTTACTTTGTATTTATCCCATTTGCAGGTTCATTGACTTTGTGGATCTAAAGTTAATATCTTCCCATCATTGAAGACCTTGTTCTTTCTATTATTTTTTCTTCTCCATTCTCTTTCCTTTCCTTACCTTATTCTCCTCTTACCTATATATTAAGCAACTAATATTATTAGCTTCAAAAATCCTTGAATTTCCATTAATTTAAAAAGTCATTCCCCCTATTCTTTTTTCCTGTAATCTTCAGTTTTTCAATTTTCTTTTAAGACAATCCATAGAAGTTTTGACTCAATTATTTCATCATTTCAAGAATTTGCACTTAGTTCTTTTCTATAGCTTCCATTACTTTGCTGAGATTTTCTATCTGCTCATTCATTAAAATACCATTTCCTTTACTTCTTTAAATGTACTTTATTTCTATAACACATAAAAACAACTTTGCAGAC